ACATTTGTTATCAGACCGGAAATCATTGACTGATTACCACCGACATGCTACCGGTCACACTTTCTTAAAACAAAAACTCTCACAAAACATTCGTAGTGGTAGTAGCACAACAGTCAAAACAATTTCTCAAATAAACTTAGAGTTTTTGGAGAACTAAATCACTTCTGTGGGAGGCATAGGAACTGATTTGATATCTAAAAGTGATTGAATAAATGGAAACTGATTGCACTTTCATCAACACTAAAACGACTCCATGCATTGAAACCGATGCGTACCTAGTTAGTCGGGATGAGCCGCACGGATTGTCATTAATTTAAATTTTTTCAGAGTGTATGTTTTGCAGTAAAGAGTTTATTTGCGATAACTTTTTACACAGTCGATAAGTGTTCAACACAAATGCTACGATGGAAAGCGGTCCAAAAAAAGCTGTTGTTTGAATATAACTATTTGCTAAACTTCCTTAGATAAATTTTCAATACATATTGTAGGCAAGAAGAAATTACGCTTAGTCACAAAAAATTCAATGGTTGTTGATAGTGTTTTTTTTATAAAAATTTTCCATTGTTATCTTCTAAGAAAGGACGCGTGTGGCGCAGTGCTCGGAGGCACCTTCAAACACACACGTGGAATCGATCCCCGCGCACATAACTCACCAAGCCTTCCATCCGTCCGGGGTGGACAAATTGGTACCAAACTTGTCTGGGAGGATAACAGCACCGGTTCGGTGGGCCACCACCGCGAGTCATTGCACAGGCCAGATACGCATTCAATTACAAACGATATTTAATAAAGTCGAATGCATGGCGTATCCCTCAGGGATTGATCAACGCCGAGAGTTTTATCCTTTATCCTTGTCCTCTAACAGGGAGCTCACCCAGTTTCTCTTTAAATGTCATTTAACCTTCTCCGGAAAATTGTTACGGAACACTATAGCGTATCCATTTTCCTTCTTCCTATGTCCTCTTTCTTTCTTCTCAGAACAATTTTGTGAATGGAATAGTCAAATTTATTGTTAGCGTGTTTAGGGAATTTACATTTTCCACCTAAACGGCATCCCACAGTGCCTCCCGCAAAATCTATTCAACATCCTCTCACAATACTATCAACAAAAGAAAAGGGGGACTTTTAATACTTTTCTTTGGGAAAAAGCTATCTTTCGTACTTTTTCTTTTAAAACTTGCTACCCTAGTCCTTATCCCTTCTATTTTTGCTGACTGGTAGGATCTTTCAATTCTAAACCAATGAAGAACATTGTCTTCCCTTCCTATACACATTAACTATTACTAAACTATCCATTAATCATCCATCAAATACTTCTCGAAATCTTAATTCTTAATTCTTAATCTCTTAATGGGAATAAAGTTGTTAAGGACGTACTTCGTTATTGGTAGAAATTTATACCATCTGCAGCTCTGTTAGTCATCAAGTAGGGCGACCTGCACCCAGTGTAGTTCCTATTCTTCCCCGCCTCACGTTGGAGCCGGCCAATGGGTTCAGCTACCTCGACGGACAAGAACATCACACTTTTGCTATAACTCCTTTATATTTACCATTTTTCACGAAAACTTAACCACATAAAACATGGGGATCACCCTTTCCACTGGTTTAGTCTTTGCAAGGTCTCCGAAGTACAATTTTAAAGTACTCAGCTTGAGTGACAGCGCTGGGAAAAGGAATCCCTTCCTCCATAATGCATTTCTTCCATATGACGGTATGGATTCATTACAGTAGAAAATAAAAAACTCTTTAATTTCAAATATGAAACGAATCAAACATTATCCGAGCCTGTTTTAGCGCCATCGAACCGGATAGGATCGAAAATCTTCACGCTATCGCCATTTCTTTATCGTTAACAGTGCTAGGTTGATTTATAGAGAGAAGAAAGAAAGAAAAAATGACAATGCGATAAACTATACAAGCGCTTCCGAACTGTTTGAGACTTTGATTTCACACTAAAAACAGATTATTGGCTATCGTAACTAATATTAGGTGGTCCCCTTAGTAATGACGCACCACAATGGATCACCTTGAGTTTCCTTCACTTCTGATTCCCATTCTTCCATAACGCTTCTCGTGTAAAACAAAGGACAAAAATAGACGTTTCGGTAAACGTCTTCCCATAATCTAATCATCTAATCATAATCTTGTTCCCCATGGTCCATTAAAGAGACGGCAAATATCAAAGTGACTGCGACGGGAGAATTTCACAGGGCTACGAGTACGAAAGAATCTCATCATTTCACAAGTCTGGGAAACAAAACCATGCTATACTATTTTATTCTTTACTTCTACTTGTTTTCCGATTTTGTTTCCACTTGTAGCGATACTTTTACCAGAACTTAACGCATTATTTCCAGTCGTTTCTGAGCTTTTATAAGATTTCTACCGATACGGGATAAAAATTAACGCTAGTTTCGAAAAAACTAAGTAAAATCCAAGATAACTGCTTCTGGAATCTTCATTCAATCAATCTCTAATTCACTAAGTTTTTGTCCGTTCCTCTAGTGTGCCTACTTTCCGCGCCATCCTGTTATGCTTACAACAACTTTTAATAAGTTCGCCACGAACAATAGTAATATCATTCAATGGAAACAATTTTAAAAAAATAACGCTCACAAAGAAAGTTGATCGCATCCAAAGAAAAAGGTCATAAGAAGAAAAAAAAAGGATGCTGGATCCAATTAGTATATTTGACTGAGGCCGGATGAAAGGAAAAGCACATCGTCTTAAACTGGTCTCGGACGTAAGGATGCCGGTTATGGTGCCTCAGGCCATAATCGCTGTAGTGAACGTTTATGACAATCATTATTTCCTCTAGCTTAAAGCGTTAGATATGGAAAAACAAAAACTCTTTAGGTTCAACTATTATGCCTTTTGTAGAAGTACAGCAACCTTTATTTACCCTACAATTTTTTCCATAAGGCAGTTCCGACTTCGTGAGCTAATATTATTCTTTTCACATCTATCATTTTACTACACGATCTTCGTCTTTACCTTATTCTCGCGATCATGTTGCAGAAGAAATGACTCAACTTTAAAGATTGATTTTCCTTATCTCTGAAAACAGACGATAAATGCCCATGTAATAGTATTTTACAACAGAATACCGTGGAGCTACTAAAATATGCTTTAATTGTATCTTTCCGCCCGAGTTCCTGTCTTTTGCAGAGAATTTGTTTCAACGCAAAACATGCCTCTCCCACTGCAGTTGCCCATTTGCATGCTTAGAATGAGCAGACATGTTTGTTTTCCCGCTCAGCCATTTTTAACGATGCCACCTTTTCTCGATGATGAAAATACTCGAGGAACTCCGGTCATGATAAACTTTAGAAGAGACTTTGAGCTGTCGTTGAAAGGGTATAGAAGGATGGCCTCTTCTAGAATCATAGCTTCATCTTGAATTCTGAAAATCCGTCCGAAAAATGCTAGATTTTTAACGCCAGTGCGCTTGCCGTAGACAACATCAACGACACATACCATATTGGACGAGATTTCGCTTTCCCAATCATTTCGCTGTTCAATATATACGTAGTTCCACAGAAAAAAAAACAGAGAAACATGCTTTGTGGGCTTCAGAGGACCAAATTTCGTCTTCAAAATGTAAGAGAAATTGTACTACGTTGAAAAAGACCTGTGGATTCTAATGATTTGATATTTCAATTGATAGAATTCACGAAAGACCGATAGGTAGTTGTGCAAATTCGAAAAAGCAAACCTGCTTTTCGTTCATCTATGATTTGAAATCAATCCATGGCGCCCACAATGTGCTGGACGACAGTACCACGCCGTCTCCCATCCGCCCTGCGCTCCCTGCAGTTCGTGTTCACAAATAAGATTTCCATATCAATAGTGGCGCACAGTTTCTGACTGCAGCCGAAAAAGAAATTACGCATATAAAGAGCTGTCTATTCCTTTCATTAAGAATCGTGTTTCCACAGAAATGGTTGGTGGACTAGACTATTCTTTCCAATGACAACTAGTCATCATGGATTATTGAATGTACGTCCAATCATCTACACTCATACACTTCCTTCTAATTAAGTAATCATACAAAGTTCTGTAGCGTTTATTTTAAATCAGCATTGCAAAACTGATGACCTATTACGGCAACGAAGGTTCCAGGGCTCCATAATCAATGGAATAAGTCAATCTGAAGCCTTCACGGCGTAGACACAGTAGACACTGCCATTTACTTTTGTCGTTAAAGATGCTATCTAAAGAAAAACAACGGATTCCCGATTTTTACGTTACTTAAATTAATAAAATGCTCACAAACGGTCTGGAATGAAGTGAAAAACTTGTGCAATCTAGTTCCATTCTCTTAATAATCCGTACATCCTTCAGACCACATTTTCTAGGCTATCTTGTGAATTGGACCATAGTTGATACTTGATAGTTGAACGGCCCGTCCTCAGTGGTTGTACGGGCCTCAACATAATCTCCATTCTTCGAAAATTTGCTGGTTAGGCCACTGTGCTTCCCTGGAATTCCGGGGTCAGCCTGGCCAAAGTCTTCACCACCACGGGCAGTCGCAGCCCTTGTGAATCAAAGGAATATTTGCCGCCATGCGACTCTGATACCAGAACGGTGGTGGATCCTGGTATTGATTTACTCTTAGCTAGGGTTCTTGATGGAAACGCCCATTCTCAGCTTGGGAGACCTTAGCGGGTGTACAAATCTCCGCGCTCTAAATCGCAGTCCGACACCCAGGAACACGTTCCAGCCACGATGAGGCGGTAAACCGTTGGTAGGAAAATGGACTATATCAACATGTACTATATAAGTGGATTGCAATCAATATGTACAAGGCTTAGCCTTGTAATTTGTGGACAGATTAGACCTAGAAGAACCAGCTGTGTCAAAAACACGAAGAAAATTGTAGACAGTTGAGGTACATTCAATATTTCATCGTCACATTCTAGTCATCTAAGAGTGAACATCATAGTTTTTACTTAGAGGTCGAACTTTTAAAGAAATATTCCAATCAAATTGATTTGCAGTGGTGAAGGTGAAAGTTCGACAGAATCCGAGGAAAGCGACCAACCACGTCGATTACGAAGAGGACGTGACTGTAAACGACTTGCTGTACATGCTTGTCCATATGCTGGATGTATAAAAACGTAACACCTACATTAACTTCTCTTAGGTTTTTAGTGCATTACTTAACTAAGGTGTTTAGACAAACTACATAGATCAGTCCAATATTCAGTGATCTTGAAATAAGGTCACTTAAGAGGTCTGAAATTCTAGAAAAATCACAAGTCCTCACTTTGTGTCAAGAATACAAATGCCAAATATCGATGAGCTGATAATTTTCGGAAACAAGGTTGGTGAATGTTTCGTTCTCTTTCTCAGCAATCACAAGGTTGTATTGATGAGGACTGAACTCACTGGAAGTCACGAAAAAAGCGGTTCCGAAGAACGCGATACTGCCGAAACGTCAGCTACTGTTGTGTTGTATGCGTTCTTCTTGTAAGGAAGTAAAAGTGTGCTGAATAACAACCTCGTGATTGCTGAGAAAGAGAACGAAACACATAAACCAATGCCGAGGTTAATAGAAAGTCGATCCTTGAAGCGTTGGTGAAGACAGGGAAAATCCCATGACAGGGAATCTTCTTCTTGCTGTGTGGTGGTTTATCGTTCCCGACTATTTCGGTGAAGTAATGTGGGGCAACCTTTTGTGGAACTAAGGACCTCTCAGGCTGCGTTTTTCGCTTTCCGACCTTACCGGATTATGACAAATATTGATCGACATTGAAGATAACAGAGTACTGGCTTGAACCAAGTAGTAAAATATGTTCTCTTACCCGTAATTCGTTTTTATAGATACTCAAAGAGTTCTCATTTAAAAGCACACGTACGAACCCACAGCGGTGAAAAACCCTACTGTTGCTCATGGCAAGGATGTGAGTGGAAATTCGCAAGAAGTGATGAACTGACAAGGTATCTATGTTCTACAGTAACCACTACAATGCAAATTTTGAGTTCAATCGGTATTCTTAGCGTAGCTACCAAACTACATTTATTTTATCGTTCTCTCTCGATCATTCTCACGAAAGAAAAAAACGCAAAAGCACTAACCAGAGTCATTTCTATCCTTATTTTCAGGCACAAGCGAAAACACACTGGTGATCGGCCGTTCCAGTGTAGTCTTTGCGATCGAGCATTCTCACGTTCCGATCATCTCAGCCTTCACATGAAACGACATAACGTTGCTTGAAGTACTGTGGTTATTACGATCACGCTAGAACGTCAACGCTCAGCAGCACTCCGCCTTATCAACGTTATTATTCATTGATAACCCGAAAGGATAGCATTCGATCATTGAGTAACACCACTTTTTGACCAAGTGATAAAACCATACCAAGTAAAAAAGTGCTTAGTACTATTGTTTTTTGTCAACTTCTATTCAGTTTTACCTATATTTGTAAGCATTCATTAAGACAGAGACTTAGACGTAAGGAACCTCCTCACCAAACCTACAAGTGGATTTTAGACTCTTGGCGTCTGTAGTCTAAGACAACTAGGACGTCTCATCCGTTGGACCAGACTTGTATTATTATCACACGACAATCACTTCATTTACAGGTCTTTGTGAAATTTCGTTTTCGAAAATTACGATATAGCACGAACTGCAATCAGAACTTGCACTTCGCATTTGTTTATCTCCTTCTACAACTATTGTTTCACACATCTTTGCTCTGCTTTATTGTGAAGTCTCGTCCATACAGGTTATCGTTGATTTAGTATTAGTCAGCTGAATTCCAAACTACGATAATAAAACATTTCTCATTGTGTATTCTAACCTGAACATTTGATTCATACAAATACAAAATAAAGCACTTGGACCAGTAGAGCGATACTGGTAGATCCATATCTTTTCAATCGCAAACGCTCAACTAAGGTCAATGACGTCCATAGATGAATTCGCACTCATGGATATTAACACTTTACGTTTGCACAGATCTCTTCCTCAGTATCATGAAAAAAATCAAAAATGAGGCTTACCTGTCGCGTAAAGTCCGACAAAATCCTCGCCGATCTTCTCAGCTTGCATCATTATGTCCTAAGTATAAGCTCGTAAGGGGTCTATGTATGTATGGACGAAGTACAAAACTTTAGCTGTTGACTTAACAATCCAAAAGGGTATTGAGTATGAAAAGGGTACTGCCGGGGATAAATGGTCGGTATGAAAAATATAGTCTTGCTATACGCTATAACCTAGATGACATATTAACGACCGTTACAGGATGGATCATCCGTTGAAAAACAAATTATTATCAGCGGACAGGCATATCAACAACAGTCGTCCTGTATAAAACAGCGCTGACGGGTGACTACTACGAAACTGTAGCTCCGGGTAGGTGTAGAGGAAATCCTAGGCCCCCAAACGACGAGTCTAGCGATAAAAAGGTTCCGTTTATCCTACCCTTCATCTCAAATGATGTAAGCGCAGGTATAAAACGCTGCTTAAGAAGGGCGTGTCTAGAGAATTCGATACACGTAGTTGAAATGCCACCGAAAACTTTTAGGCGCCAGCAAGTTAGTAATCGCCTATATGACCGTGTTTGTGCAACGCAAAATTGCATAATTTGCTCTAATGGTAGAGATAGTTACTGCATGAGCTCGCGTACAGTTTATCTGATCTCATGTAAGGTGTGGGGAAACAAATACATTGGCGAAATGGGTAGACCACTGTGTCCGCATAAAGGAACATCTAGTCGGTAAACGTAAACCGAATACCCCACTAGGCACGCATAGGGCCCAGAGGCATAACAGGAGTATTTTAAAGTACGGGTCGCGATCCTCGCAGAGGAATCGAGAACACGAGCGCGCGAGAAGTGAGCGAATGAGCCTCATTATCACGTGTGATATTGGGCAGTATATTAGCCTGTTATTCTGATGGGAAAGGCACACTACGCTTCCACGTAAATTCTGTGCGGTTGGTCTCCACGCGACATACTCAATGGAAGACTCATAGAAAGCGGTGTGTGTGTGCAAAGAAGCTATTCTGTGTTCAATGTGATTGAAATCTTGGTTTAGCGTTTTCTCTGCTTGGTTATGGAGGTGTTTGGCCGAATAGATTGCTGTCAACTTGACCTTTCCGGGCTCTGAAGGAGGCGAAATCCGCCGAAACGTCAGCTTATTCGTGAGTAAAGAATAGAATAACACCTCGCGTTTGCTTAACAAGAACACGAACAATCCATTTATGCAGTATCACAGCAACGTAACAGAACACAATTTAGTAGATTTAGACTTACCACGAAAATAAGTGTTTAGAGATCAAGAACTAATCAATACGGAATCACTGAAAGAATCTTTACAAAACTCGGAAGTGTAAAATGTTTTGCGAACAATTTCAAGCAAGAGAATATGGGCGCAAAAACTGAACACGTAAAATGATTCTATCACATTTTCATTATGAAAAATCACATAACTAATTTAGCTGGACACAAACAAGAACTAGAACACTACGACGAAAACGAGACTTGAAATCAAGTGAAGGCATCAATGTGATATTTTCTGATTTCTAGACATTGCACCACATTTGCATAAATACTACGTTTCTGAATCCGACCTGTTAACAGCATGTCATTTCAATCATACCAATCTACTAGTATTTCCAGAGAAGCACCACTTGCAGACCTTACCATCCCGTTCACCGAGGTGTTCCTCTGCCAAATAATTATCCTTGTTTGTTGCCTACAATTTCCGGAAATACTTAAGGTAGTCCGGATTCACTTAACCTTTACATAGATTACTCGAAGGCTAAAATAAAATCAGCGAGATCATTTAGGCACCGATCGTTCAGTGTCGTCAGGAGCAACTATACGAGGAAAAACAGCAATAAGTGGATTCCCAAAATTCGAGTTGATCGGAACGAAATTCGTCGGGTAATTCTGAGTTTCGACCGCAGTGTACAAGTTGAGACTACGTTGATCGGTACATTGTGCTGCAAGCGGCTCACGAATGTTACGATTCACCATTGATGAGCTGCAATGACTTGGAAAGATTTTCAACAACTTGAAGAACAATCCTGAAATTGAAGTTTTCCTGAGGTGGATTAAGCTGGTTTTTACGCGTTAGCTTGTCCACAAAGCAATGCATCTTTCAGAAAGACCGATGAAACAATGATTCCAACCCATACGGGGGCAAAAATAACTATTCTCAACAAATTAAGTTAGACTCAAATAAACCTTAGTGAATTCCAATGAATAATGAACCTTGTTAGTTGAAGCAAAAACCATCAAAACCTACATATGCTTTCCAAAATAAACTCGGGATCCCACTCCAAGAAGATGGAATTTTTATCTTCTTTGGCCCCGAAATTATCGCTTGATTTAAAGGCGCGTACCTCAAACAGTAAAGTGATTCAACAACGATTCCTAATGAGAAAGACGATCATAAACGTTATATCGCCTAAACTTGAAAATGACACCTGATTCCAAAATTTATACTCAATTCAGCATACATAGAAAATATGACACCGGATTCTAAAGCGAAGGTCAAAAAGAAAACTGGGTTGCACTGAATTAGAAATTAGGGAAAACCTCTTACCCTACTTCTAAGGAAACTTCTTTAAGGCAATAAGCTTAGGATGGAACTTAGCGCCGTACCCCAAAAGGAGCAACCAAAATGATGTTCACTGTGAGCGTTCAGACGAAAACCGATAAGATTGTTCACTACATCTTTTCATAATCACAGTGATATTAAAGTACACCATTAGATTCACTAGATTTGGAAAAGTAATCGAAACTTCAAAACCAGCTTCGTGGCCAGCAAATCATTAGTACCAATTATTCACTTCTATTCTTACCACAACAACGTCACACAAAGAACTATTTGCGGAAAAGAAAAAAAGGAATTGGGATATACAGCTCCCATGCAGTACTCAGTAATGTCTTAGTCTACTATGGACTACTTTTTAGTAGTAATACATACACAACTACAATTAGGTTAAGATATTTGCAAAACTCCGGAAAGGATAATAGCGAGGATCGATCCCCACCGCATACGCCTGCGGCTCGGAGCTTTCCGAATACCTCAACATCACTGTGGTTGCACTTCAGATCATACCCTGCCATGAAGAAGGAATAGACAGCAAATAAAACAGCAAATTATCAAACACACCAGCAGGTGCTTAAAGTATTCTTAAAGAACTCGCCTTACCCACTTCTCTTACGACGTAAAACCAGGAAGCAAACAAAGCAGCACCAATTCGAGTAAATGTACTGGTCCCCGCAGTATTTATTTTTACTTGAAAGAGCTTACTATGGCTTCGTCTGTCAAGAAATAAAGACTTCAAGTCTGCATTTCATTCCATATCTGACAATGTTACTCCTACAGCTGCAATGAGAAGTAGAAGGGTTCCACACCGGTCATTTGCGAAAAACCAGATATCAATCATTTCTTTAGGTCATCACATGTGTTAGAGATGTATCTACCGATAAAAAATGGATGAATATCTCGGCGTTGATCAATCTCTGAGGGATGCGCCATGTATTCGACTTCACCAAGCATCGATGTAGGTAACTGAATGCATACCTGATCTTTACAATGACTCGTGGTCGCCTACCGATATACTGAGCCAGTGCTGCTATCCTCCCAAACAAGTCTAGTATTAACTTGCCGACCCCAGAGGGATCGAGGGTTTGGTGAGCTCAGGGCACAGGGATTGACCCTATGTGTATTGCAGAGCGCTTCTGAACACTGCACTACACGCTTATCTAGCTAATTGGCAGTAAACATATGCATAAAAAATGCAGAAAATATGTTAAAAGCGCAAAAACTCACCTATTTTTTAGCATCATCTGACGCGACTTATTAACTTCATCGAGAATCATGGTAAAATGCCTGTCCTAAAAAAAGTTACAGTCCACCTTAAGTCTTTACAGTGCACAGAGTAAGGAGAAATACAACGTAGAAATGAAATAAGAGCTATAGATGCTTTCACTCATAAGTTAACACGACGCTGATAAAAATACGTATTGATTAGATACGCTGAGGTTAAAGGAAAGCCGGTTTGTGAAATATTATAGCTATAGAATTAACTACGACGACTTCAAATCTAAAAGATCACTTGAAAACTTCAATTTTCTATTGCACCAAAACCACGTCATCAAATTTAGTAGGACAAACACCTTGGTTAGAAACTCTAACGGTGGAAGCTCTCCAGAATTCTCATGGATAAACGGAAAGAAGAATGACAGCAATAAAGCCCCTGTAGTAGCCGTTGAACAACAACAACAACAACAACAACAACAACAACAACAACAACGTTGAGCAACAAAAACTACTTCGAGCTCAGCTTTGGAAACTCTTTTTCTTGGTGCACTTCCCGCACTTTACATTCAAAAGTACAAACAATGGACGTGTAACTATAGAGAAATCACAGTAGTACTAGTAAACCAGTACTTGTAAACCATTCGAGCAGTACAGCTTCGAAAATCGCGGGCAATCCAGCGTTCCAGTCGGGACCCAATGAATGCGCGTCGACTCTTAAGGCACAGCAGGATCATTCAATAATGCAAAGTGTGCCATGCCAACGTTCGATGTGAAGCCTTCTCTTTCTAGATCTCGTTACTTTTCCCCCTTCTTTTCCTTTCTCTCTCTTCCTTTCACTGTTTTGACTATTCCTATTCTTAAAGGCATTTACTTATGAGTACTACTAGACTTAGTTCATGGTTCCAACTACAATGGAAGGTTGTCTCTGATATCTACTAAGAGATCTGGAAGCTTCGTAAGTTCGACATCAAGCAGTCATGGTCGAATACGGTTGTAATGTGGCCAACAAGTTTGGTTTCATGTCAGATGATGACGGTCAGTTAGTACTTCTTTCTGTTTGGTAAAGGTAACTGCTTACAAGTGTTGTTTACTGGTTGTTAGTCAAAGCTTACTTTGTTTAGAGTTTGATGATCCTCAAGAGTTGATCAGTAGAGTGGCTCAACTCGAGGCCGAAAAAGCTGCTGCACAGAAGAAAGCCGATAAACTTGCGAAGCAAATCGCTGCCACACCAAAGGAAGCGGCTAAGCCGGCCGGTGGTCAGTTTTTCGGAGTGATGCGATGCTTATGTGTCCCAGTGTATCACTTACTTCTTAGACGTTTGTTTTGCTCTATTTCATCGAATAATTTTTACCTGAACTGAAGTAGTGATGATGCCACTTTCATGAATGAATAGTTGTTGGGTAGTTTATGGACTTCAAGATTCCTGAAGTAGATGCAACGCTTGAAAATAAATGACTCAGTTTAAGTTCACGCTTTCATCCGTTGTTCCATTCATTTTCCCTAGGTTTTCATGGATGGGATTCTTGTTTACGGTGTTGGTGAGATCGGTTTTACTAATGCTGTAAACAAATCCCCCGCAGTTATCGTGCCTTGGAGTTATCATGGATGTCTGGCAAGTTGTTACAACAAAATCCAAACGAACATAACTGTCACGACCGACTTTCTATTAACCTCGACATTGATCAAGTAATTCTTCGAATTTTTGTTGAGCAAACGTGAGGTGTTATTATTCTCTGTTCACGATTAAGCTGACGTTTCGGCGGATTTCGCCTTCCTCAGAGCCGCTTCCTATAAGGTTTCCACTAAGTATGTCACGTAGAGACCAACCGCACAGAAATCACATGGAAGTATAATGATACTGATATAAAGATATACAGATATACAGTCTATACATTATACTTCCACGTGATTTCTGTGCGGTTGGTCTCTACGTGACATACTTAGTGGAAACCTCATAGGAAGCGGCTCTGAGGAAGGCGAAATCCGCCGAAACGTCAGCTTAATCGTGAACAGAGAATAATAACACCTCGCGTTTGCTCAACAAAAATACGAAGAACATAACTGTCTTTCAGTGTGCTAATATTACTGCAATGAATTAAGTGGTTTTCCGAGAACTATGTTGAACTTATGGCCTTGTATTCCTTCCTTGTTTTGTTATTTTTTACCTCTGTATATATCTGTCTGGCACACTTCATTTCAAATTCCTTTTTGTATACGTATATATTTGCGTGTGCATATATGGGATATATACACACATACGTAAATATGTACATAAAGTGTACAAAAATTATATACGTATTGCAGGAAAGGAGAATACGAAACCCAATGGTGGAGAACGTGGTGGACGTGGTGGTAGAGGACGTGGACGTGGCGGAGTTCCCCGTACTGCTCGCCAAGAAGGGGAATTTGCTGATCGTTTCGGCGAGTCTCGTGGTACTCGTGGTTTCCGCGGAATGCGTGGACGTGGTGCTCCGTTGTACGTTTTTGATTCTTTTCTTTTCCATTGTACCAGTCTCTTATGTAGACAACGTGGTCGTAATTTACGAAAATTCAACTCTTGGCTTCACTAGTCTCATGCATATTGTAAATTGGACGGTGAAGAATTGACCATTTCTATCTCATGCGATTTTGAGAATGCAGAATTTGTAAAGTGCTTCCTGTTATTGTACGGTGCTACTCCCCCAGTATGCTTTAACTTTTATTTACTAACCACTTTTTTTATGGCCGGTTATAATGCGAAATACTGCTGAGATAGCAAAATTTGGGTGGCCCATCACCGGAGTGGTAAACGAGTTTCCTAATAACATCGATAAAGTTGAATCAAGGCTGAGAGACAAGCACAGTATGGACCTTTGTTGTTGTAGTGGTTAGCACATGAGTCGCCTGAATTGGTAATCAGGGGTTCGAATCCCTTATGACGGTTCGAGTTTTGCTTACATCTCACCATCCCTACGCTCCCCATGGTTACTATTTATCATTGTTTCTTCCCAAAATAAAGCTCACATTGTTGGATAGACGAAGTGAATATACAGAGTGTTAGCATTTCCTAAGTAATTTATCTTTCAGCCGAGGGCGTGGTGGAAACGTGAATGTGTTTTCTGAAACTACAAAGAACTCTCAAAATAAGGTAGATGATGTCACGAGCGATTCTCCAGTGATAGAGTTCAGTGGTATGTGGGTGATTTAGAATAAGCTCTGTTTGATTGCTATTATTCCTGGACAAATCGAAAAACTTAAGGAGAGCGTCGTGGTCGTAGTGGACGTGGTCTTTTTAACGGAGAGCGAAGAGGGCGTAGAGGCTTACGCGGTGGACGTCAGTTCGATCGTCAAAGTGGTTCAGTTCGCGCTGGTGTGCGTGGAGTTGAGAAAAAGGAGGGACATGGACGTGGAAACTGGGGTGACGATAAGGTATGTTCACCGGTAGTATCAGTCTCTACTTGTAGTGGACTTTTTTAAACGAAATAAAGATCATTGGTCATTAATAGGATAGTATAAGCGTCAAATGAGGATGTGCGCTAATGCATTTTTACTATAGTCCGTTATCACGCTGGCGGCGGATAATTGAAAATTTAGTTTTTCGGATTTTTTGAAAATTCCAAGTTGAAACAACTTTAAAGTGTAAATAATATTTTATAAAAGCAGTGTAACAGTAGATCTCTATTACATTCGCAGTTATGGAGAAGTGTAGGATGTTTTGGATTCACTAAGTAAACACTCAAGTAAAAGAGTTATCGAATCACCATCCTCGTCTCGAATGTGTTAGATCGAAAAGGATTTCTGGTTTTGAGTTTAAGACAAGCGAATCTGAGAAGTGGTGTGTATGTGAAACGTGAGGGAAATCAGAATAGGATGGATTGTGTTTTTATTAGAATTGGTGACTGTTTGAAAACTTAAGGACGAACTTGCTGGTGAAACTGAACCGTTGCCAGCGGTTGATGAGCCAGAAGCTCCACGAGAGGTACCAGTTGACGAACTTCCTATGGAGTCTGTTGAGGTCGACACACAAAAAACACTGAAAGAATTTTATGGTTCTCGGAAGGTTAGTTTCTGTCTGGAATCGATGATATGAAGATACACATGACTTTTAGACAGATATGAATTTGTTTAGAAAGAAGCTCCGAAGTTTAATGTACGTAAGGCAGGAGAAGGTGAAGAGAAGAATATGGGGAAGCTGGTTAAGCTACAGAAGGAGGTGGTTGTAGACAAAGAAGAGGAAGAGGTGTCAATAATACGACGTGAACCACGCGAAAAAATCGTTCACATCGACATACAGTTTGCGGAGCCCAACCGCGGTTACCGTGGAGAGCGAGGCGATCGTCGTGGTGATCGCCCACCAAGAGGACGTGGTGGTACACGTGGGGGCGGGCGAGGCGCTCGTGGTGGTGGCCGTGGACAGGCGCCACCAAGTTTCGATGCTTCCCTTGATGCCTTTCCTGCTCTTGGTTCGAAGTGAGTGGTCGCTCTACACATCTGCACAGTTGAACACCATCTGCAATACGTTCTGATTCCATTTCTGCTCCTTAGTCTTTACACCCTGCATGTATAAAGTAGTGTCGGTCCTTTAGCTTTTTCTATGCGACACTTTGCGTTTTTGTTGTTTAGCCATTCGATCTCTGTTTCTGATGAATTTATTTCGTCGATGTTTCGATGGCTAATGCTTATCTGAAGTGAAAAAGTCGGCCAATGATCTTCTCTGTTTTCGGTCATCTCATTATGTTATCCAATATACAGTTTGCAGGAAATGGATTACTAGGGCTCCCTCAAGAACAAAGATTTGTTTGTTTGGGGCATTGTTGTTTATCCTTGTTAAGAGGAGCATGATAAGGCGTGTTTTCATTCGTTCAGGAAATATCTTCTTTTTCTCGTACATATTACTTGGGTGTAATTGTCATTTTGTTGGAAGACTCGATAACATTTCCTCTTATTCAATAAACGAAATGTTTACTACATAAGTTGTGAATTTCTTTTGTTTTGCTAGGCTACAGTGAATATTATCAATTTATTCCAATTGGTCACAGACTACATCTGGAAAGTCGCCATGACATTTTATTTTGTTAGCCTTGGTGATCTATGAAGCACATCCATACGTGAATTGAGTTGCATCGGTTCTCCGCACCCGATTGCGGTTTAGGAAGTGACTAAGGTGAGGTGTGTGTACTTTCAAGACATCATTGTCGCGAATGGGTTTAAATCATGGTCAGCTTACACACATAGTAGTAAAGTTTGTGCAAAGTTCCAAGAGCAGTTAGTCTGGTAGTTTGGTCGGGCTCACGTCGATAGCATCCGATTAGTCTGACGACATGGTTGAACTCAGTTCGCCTAGTGATGGATACTTCTTTGGATGGTCATAGTGTTCAAAACCTAAATGACATTGGCATTTTACCATTGCAGACGTGATTCGTCGGTGGGCATAGCAAGTGAGTGTTTAGGGCAGATGTTTATTTATTCATCACTAACGATGCTTAATGTAGTCGAATGTATTTCGCATCCCTCAGGGATCGATCAACACCGATGACTCTTCTTTATTTCAGCGCGGTGTTTGTATTTCCTAGCAGGATGTCTTGGAGGCTTGAAATATGAACTGAAGTTAGTCAATAGACATATTCAATTTTGTTCTTGTGTGACCCAATACTACATTTTGCGGACTCCTGTACTTCCTTTGGGTTCACCTGTTGGTTTAGGATTTCTGGTTGTCGATATGTTTATACCGTTTAAAAAATTTCTCTTTCTAGAAACAAGGTTGATTGTCGTATTAACTAGATGAATATTTTCCATATTTCTCAACAAGAGATATCTTTCTTTCATCATTCCAAACTGTCTTATACATTGCGTTTTCCTTTTATATAGTGGCTATTCATTTGAGCGTTTTCATATAATAACAAATATAGTACTTTACTAAACTAGTACTAGCCGAGTAAAACCTATATAACAAGTTCATGTGAACTGAAAAATTTAGAAAAGTAGTATTTATCCCATGACAAAGGCACGCAGACTTTTTAGCAGACTAAGACACGTTTCAGGTCTGCAGGGCCAAACATCTTAAAAGTTTTCTGGTCAAGGTGCTCAATTCTTAGAATTTGACACAGGTTTTGGACTTAAATTGACCGTAGAACAGGTTACCCATCTGTGGATTTTTATCGATAACTCTGTTGACTTAAAAACAGTAATTGTGTAGAATCTCTAGAATCTTAATGAGAACAACTGATTCTTATCGTAACACACAGATTCCCCGATGCAGACTGCAGATCCGATCTGTGCTCCTATTCTACGGATCGTATGACTGCTACTCTTTACGAGTAGTTTTCGTTTTTGGACTCTGCTTGGTTTTCAGGAGTCTCTTAAGTTATTCTCATCGTCAACAACGAAATTGCAGAACTGGCGCAGATATTGGCGTAGTTTGTAACCTCCGGATTTTTTATTGACTTTAAACGGAAAAGTAGTGGAGCGTTAGGAAGAGGTTGCAAGTAGTGAGAAATAGCATATTGACTGAAGATGATATATGATTGTACGTTTATAGTGCAATGGTTATAGGAGCGCTGCAATACACATGGGATCGATCCCGCTCCCCAGGTTCACCAAGCCCTCCGTCCCTCCGGGACCGGCAAGATTGATGCCAGACGTGTCTAGGAGGATAGCAGCACGGACTCGATACGTCGGTAGGCCACCATTAGTCATTGAATAGGCCAGAGTGCATACAACAACCTCTAGCGATTCTTAACGAAGTCGAATGCATCGCGCATCCCGAATGAATTGATCGGCACCAAAAGCTCTGTCCTTCATCCTTTATTCCATGGTTGTATATGGTGTACTTAGAAAAACATGATTTTATAGTGCGAGGTAGAAGGCTTCTATCGTACAATGAGGACGGAGGTTGAATTTGAAATAATGTCCCACCTGGTTACTGAAACACTGAACACCGTGTATGACTAGATTTTTAAAATTTTTCCCAGCATGCTTCCAAGTTGTGGATGCGAGCATATAAATATGGACTTTCCAGGACTTCGAAATTAAAATATGTCACCCTTCCAACGGTAACCTCATCGTGGCTAGTTTGTGGCTGCGATGTACAGCGGGGTGATCTATCCCTCCGTCAGGGTTTCCCAAGCGGAGGAGTCGGGCGGTTTCACCAGGGAGCCTAACTAAGAGTAAACCCTTACCAAGATTCACCACCGTCCTGGAATGAAACTAGTCGCTTGGTGGCAAATATCCCTCTTATCTACAAGGGCGACGACTTCGTGTGTTGAAAACCTAGGACAAACTTTGGCTAGACGAATCTCGGGAATGGAGATTATGCTGTGACCCGCATACAAGTACCCGTGTGTAATATGTCACCAGGTATTTGTTGATCTAGACAGAATTTCAGAGAATCTAACGAAAATTGCAACTGAAAACCGTCTCAATAGTGATATTAGCTGAGTTGTGTTTGCACGAATGGATAGTATTTAGATTCCTTTTCGATTTGAGATTCGGCGATTAATAGGATGAAAGTTCCTGCATATATTATATATATTGATAGGTGACAGTTTTTCTATCTCATGATTACTTGTTTTGTTGAAGAGGATTGAAGAGTTCCCTAAGACGCCTTGTTCAGTATGCTCACCATTTCCAAATCTCGCTTTACCTCGCTTAACTCTTCACCTGTCTGACGAGCACGAGCTTCCACTTTCAATACGTACTCTTCCAGCATACAGATTTCGGCCTTATATTTCAAGGTCTCTTCAAAAATGGATGAACGGAAGAGAAAACGCCTAAGCACTTTTCCACACATATTACATCCTAACTGCTTAGAGTGTTAAAGTTACAGATAGGGAATCATGTAGGTCAACTCTGTCAGCGAATTATTCAGAACAAAACTCATTCTGAACGAATGTGTCGTCTACATTTTCAGTTCCAGAAGCTCTACGTACTTTCATGGGAACTGGCAATATACTTCCAGTGCTTTGATTAGTTCGTTGACTTCAACATATTTCTTATTGGGACACATGTCAATGTTTTGCGGATACACTCTTTCTAGCGATGACCGCCACAGAAAGAGCAAGTCGAGTAATGGAGAAATGGCGGTGGGAAACGTTGTTGGTCGAATTGGAGAGAATATTGTGAAGTATTGTGATTTTCGACTTCTGATTAGTGATAATTATGTATCTGGCACGAAAAGTCAAGAATGCTATTAAAATCTGCTGGAACAGTTATTTCTGTGTTTCCACACATTTATAGAAACCTGAGCGTTTAACTGTCTGGTTCGGGTTTTTCCACCTTCCCTTTGATTCCAGACACAATTTTAATGCTTTTCCGCTCTTTGAATGTGAAATGTCATCTGTACCACTTTTAATTTGTTTACTCGTAGTTGCTTTTTTCATGGAATATCAATAAGACCTCCGGTAATCTCTGTCACGTACCAGAACCAGCTTAAGACTCAATAGCTCGAGCTTGATAGCATAAAGGGCATCACATTCTGCGTAGAACGTCTTTCGTTTTTGAAGCTTTTGACAAAAAGACATCCATAGGTAGCTTGCTGGTTTCTAGCATGGTGTGCTCAGCATATCAACTTTTCATTCACTTTGCTATAGATCTCTGGCCGAATCATTGTGCACAATATTACATTACAATTATTACTTATTACTATTATATTACAACAATTATTACTATTACAAGTAAGATGAAGTTTTGAAGATGAAAGATAAAAGTTATTTCGGCGTTGTAAAGACGAAGACCATTTCACGTAAGTCTAGCTGATTCCAAACGGAAGTTTTTACTATTAATGGTTTTTTTCTCAGAGTTATATCCGCTTTTCACAAATCGTGCTTCGAAACCACCTGTCTAGCCAGCGATGTGTATCCCGTATCTGAGATGTTCGTAAGAGCATGTGTATATACTACAAGTATAATATTTGTATAATGTACATCTACCAAGTGAATATCAGTAGAATGAATCGTCATTCCGATGATAAACCTGGATATCAAACAAAACACAGCGTGCTTGGTAGAGCTTTGGGGCCTTTATTTGTCCAGTTTATATTGAACAAGTGAGTGCACATCTGGCCTACATAACCACTCGCGATGGCTTACCGATGTATTGAGACAGTGCTACTATCCTCCCAGATAAATATAGTAACAATCTGCCGAACCCGTAGAGATAGAGAGCTTGGTGGACCAGAGGACGGGGGTCGATGCCATATTTATTGCAGAGCGCCCCTGGCCACTGCGCTACACGCACTCCGTTGCATGCAGTCACCTCCAACGATGCCTGATGAAGTCGAATGCATGGCGCACCCCACAGGGATTGATCAACGCCGACCAATGCCGAAGATTAGATTTATCCCTTATACTGAGCAATACGAGCGCATGAGCGTTTTCTAATCAAGTCCTGGTTATGTCAAGGTCTTAAATCATTCAACATAATCCTGATTCACGTGATCAAGAAATAGCTTCCATGAGCCAGCCAATCAACTTAGAGAGAAAAATGAATCAATTAGTAATCTATCCTGTATCACCTGTAGTCCTGTTGATCGTCGAGTAACTCGAGCTGGCGCCAGTAAATCTTCCACTTTTCCCTGTCGTGTGAAAGAGTAGCCCAGTGGGTTCTATTCGCTCTAGGGACTCGTCGAGCATCATATCTTTCTTCAAGGCTCTTCGTGAAGAACTCTGACCATCGGGTCGGTGGTCTTCCTGCAGTACGTTTGATATCCCGGGGAATCCAGTCACTAAGGGCTCTTGTTCATCGGTTGTCATTCATACGCATTACACGTCCGACACACCTTGTCCGTAATCGTAATCTATCCAGTAAAGAAAAATATACCATTTGGTCACTGAAAAAACACCAGTAACTTTTTTTTGTCAAGAGCACTGGGTCACTTCTTTATACTTCTTTTCTATAGGTTTACTTTGAGTTGGGCATGTGAACGAAAATAGGACGGCTTGGGTGACGCTTTCCAGAACGAGAACATTATATACATCGGAGTTCGATACCTACGATTACCCTACTACCACTATAAGGTGATAAAACCACGTTCAGCGATAAATATAATGGAATCGACCTATGGAAGGAAAGGAGAATAAGTTGTTACTGCTTCGAAAAAAAAAAACTGCCGTTTTGCACAATACCATACAGAAGTGAAACAAGTTGGCCTATGTGGCCTATTTTCACCCAAGTGACACTAACATGCTTAAAAGCAAAGCGACAACGAAATAAATCTTTAATGCAACAATCGGTTCAGCCAGATCGATCCAATATGGTTTCCAAGCATCAAACAGACGTAAAAAAAAGGAGGGTTCGCCATCTGGTATGAATGCCGCCCATTAGGACCCTACAACCAAAGCGCTGATTCGACTACTCCAGCCAAGCTTCCCATCCTTCCTGGTTCGAAGAATTCCACAACTGGAGCTTTCAACTTGAAACATGTGATAGCTAATGAATGTAGCTATTGTAGAAAAACAGTGACAAGCTCTCTTTTGCATAAATACTCGTCTAAGTATTACTGTGAAGTTGCATAAATTGACATACCTTTATTTATAATTTAGCACAACGCCACACATAGATTCATTCTGATCCTGACGAGTCGTAATCGGCAACGAGCCCATTTGTAACAGCTGTTTTTGCTTCATCTTTAACTCTGATAGAAGCATTTGTTAAATCATCTTCAATCTCTTCCGGTTCTTCTTTCACGTTTTTTCGAACGACGCCAAGTGTCAACGAAGACTTTTTTGCAGTTAATCCGAAATTGAACTGAAACGATAGAAAAGATATAGAACAAAAATTTTAGAGTAAATGGCCAACAAACTTCTATAGGTCCAGAAAAAAATTTGACCGAAAGCGTTCTGAGCGCTTGCACAAGCACTGGAAAGTATCTCAACCCTCATCAACACATCTTGAGGGGGGAAGCACACAGACAAGAAAAATTGTGATTGAATTTTTGTTATAAAACCAAAGTGAGGGAAAGTCCACAATCCACTGAAATAAGCTTTGACTTTACTTAGCGTCACCGTAACGTTTCGAAATCCAACTAGTCATTATACGAGCGTATTTTGCCGAGTCTCAGACATTTCTCATACCATACCGATTAGTTCGTGAGTTCTCAAGGGAAAAAACCCAGGTTTTGTACCGAAAAAGACATGACAAGAATTTAACACACGTTATCGTTAATTCGACGATCACGATCTCGTTTTATGGTCCTTTTCAACTGATCTATCATCTTTGGAGTGGAGACCTCACTAGAAGACGTAGATGGAAATATTCGTCGAGCTGCGGCTTCTCTGCGACGTTCTTCCTCACGTTCATCTTGCGCTAGAACTCATTATTCTTAGAAGTGAATTTAGAACCGGAAAATTATTCTACAGGGAAAAGATGCACGGCATAGAAATGACAGTTCAATGAGACCCATCAGCAATGAAAAGAACAAAAATCGTGACTTCTAGTGATGAAGTAGTCCGGTCATAAGAGAGAAAAACTAACATTTAATGGTACGAAATCGCGCCAACATGCCAGCAACTTTCCTATCGTTCGGATCCTCAGGCTCAAGCGAAATACTCAATGAGCAGCGTGCACGCAAATCATCATCGTAGGCTCTCTTTTCATTGAGTTCTTTCTTCTCTTTCTGAAAACGTCTTCACTTGCGGTCAGGAATACAATACCATACTTACATAACTGCTTATATACCCGGAACTGTGCTCTAAGTGCCTGATTGGCTGCAAAATCATCTCGTAACCTCTCCTGGATCCACTCAATTTTATCCATTCGAGTTTCATCACTGGTCGCTTTATTTTTGTCCTAAACAAAAATTATGTATGTAAATAATGTGCCCAATATTATACCTTCTTATTTTCTGCCTACTATAATTTCGCGGCAGGGTACTAAGCGAAATACAACCACAACGTTGCTGAGATATTTGCAAAGCTCTGGACCGCAGGTCTCTATGGTGGGGAACGAACCCGCATGGTGTGGTTGTGAACGCGTTACTCCCCGGAAAGGACAATAGCGCGTTCGTTCCCCACCATAGACACCTGCGGTCCAGTTTTGCAAATATCTCAGCAACGTTGTGAATGTACCCAATAGTTCAGCTATCAAATTCTGAAAAAATACAGGCTGTTTTGCATATGTTTATAAGTCAAGCGTAATAAAGCGGTTATACCATAGCCAGGAGCCTTAAACTAAGCATACTCGTCCTCAATATTTGAAAACGATCAATCGATGATTTAATAAAAGAAAAAAGAACAAAAAGTGATAGAAAAGAGCGCTACGTCACCTCCTCCTTATGTTCTGTCTTAAACATGGCGTCTGCTGCTAATTTGTGACTAAAATCACTATCCGAAGTATCGATTTGGTCGACTTCCGACGGTTCGAAACGTTTCTCTTGTCTTGAACATCCCTCAACCAATTCGTAGTCGAAATTCTAAACAGAAAGGATGTTCTGTCGACGGTTTTCCTCAAAAAGAAAAACTGTACCGTTTGAATTCAAGCGTGTACACTCTATCGGCTCGTATAATGCAAGCCTTATATAAGCCGACAATTTGAGCTCAACTTCAGACTTATTAGAAAGCACTATTTTAAGCTTCACTACAATTCAAAATTCGATAACTAATACGGTGTCTCCATACCGACGCTCTAAACTGTGATGAAATGGTGTAAGTATCTCTGGGGAATTTTCACTTGTACCAATATTTGGGTAGCATCACCTACCCTTAAAAGCAATTCTATCTCATCTATAAGAAAGACAGGATAATATTCGTCTCAAGAATTCAGGAATCGTACCGTCGGACGGACGTAATCATATCCTTGGATTCGCGACACAATAAAACGAATTTTTCCAAACAGACGGGAACTGACCTTAGGATCTGTTCGTATTACAAAGTAGTTGTCGCACAAATGACACTTCATTCGGAATTCGTACAAAGGTGTCGTATAGTACATTCCAATTTTCTTCTTCTCAGCGTTATATCGTACACCCATACCAACATGGTTATTGCAACCAAGGCACCATATATTAAACGGCATCTCAAATCTGCAAAATAAGAAACAACACTATCGTTATCTCTTAAAAGGTATTTTATTGTACATAAAAGGAACAAACATACAAACCTGATAATAAGAATACCCTGTGAGATTTTCTTAGCTCTCTCCCGTAGTGCGTGAGTACCATGATATTTGTTAAGACTTTTGTGCTTCTTATAATCGAAGTCAGGAGGGTAATAGAAGTTTTGTCCTTTACGTTCTCCCATGATTACGTCTGAAAAACACTCCATTTGCATTAGACATAATATCTGAACCCGAGATTACGAATGACGAGGCAAGGAATAAAAAGCCTAGTCAATGATTACAAAATCAGGAACACCATTCCTCGAAAATTCCAGCAGTATAGAAAAACAATGACCTGAGACAACTACAAGCAGTATTTTCAAAGATTTATATCTTTCGAAAGTTGGAATCAATGGGATTTAATGATTAACACAAGATTTAAATTAGGTATTTTACTGTGTACAACTTACGGAGTAAACGGTCATACATAAGTTGAGCAAGAACAGCTAGAGAAAATCAAATAGAAAACTAATAAAAGAAAAATGAAAAAAAATGAAAATGCACATCTTACACATCACAATGAGAAACACTTAGACCTAAGAATGACACTTGGTGAATCTATACAGCTAGAGAAAAAGTACAAAACGAACCGGTACTGAAGGGGAATACCTGCGGCTACCGTGGAAATACGCTTCTACAATTTTTCAAAACTTATTACCAGTTGGAAACATACTAGGTGCATTAAGTAGATAGAATGGAAATAGATATAACTTAAAGACTAAGTTTTTCAGAGAATTTCGTCAAACACTTCAGATAGTCACACGAGCATAGTTAACCCAGTTCAGGCCAAAAAGGACGTCCTTACTTAAAATTATTCAGCAGCTATCAGACATCCAGGCGGAGCAAAACTAAAAACAAAGACAGTCTTTAAGGCAGAACTCTATTTCCCTTGGTGAGAAGTCAATAATAAAGTTCACATCTATACCTTAAAAATGCGTAGAGAATACAGACATTTCAACTAGTAAGTATTATCCTGTTATAAATAGTAAGGAAAAACTATTGCAGCAATTGAACTAGAGTCCAAGGGCATGAGCCTCTATATCGTTAAACTTGATTCTGTCATGTGCCGTTATCCTTTCCCAATCAACTTTTGAAAGTTTACTCTTTTCGGTCCTCGTGTGCCATACATACACTTTAGTGCACATATTTGCCTTCGGTTCGAGATCGCTTCGGGATAACCCCAACCCGTTTAGAAAATGTGACTCCTTAAATAGATTTGTTTGGATTGTTCAGAATCAGACTCCTCAATAAGTTGTACAGAAAGATGTAAATACAGAAAACTCCCATGGTAGACCATACCGAAAGAATATGAACGAGACGAAATCCCGAGGCAATTCACTCAACCTCTAGAGGTGATGTGGACTGCCGTTCGAAAGATAAATACCTGCTGTCCTCTCGCTACATCAAAAGAAAAAGCAGCGTTTGGATGAGAAGTAATCAGAGTGATATTCACGGCAAATGCAGCCATATCGATGGGAAACTGACGATCCGGCTTCCATACAGCGTTGAAGCCAATTACTGTTCCTGAAACGATGAAGTGTCTACTACGACGGAAGTAGTAGACATAATACTACCAGGTTAAAAAGCATCAATTCAACAAAATTATTAAATTAAGTCGGTCAAACTACGCATAAAAACGAACCATTTTCCGATAAAATTGGCCATTCAGCAACTAGACCTCCAACGATACCAACAGGCCATACCCCAACCACATCAACTGATCTAATTTCATTGAATAACCGCAAGTCGTACGTGTTATCATCGTCACCAAAATAAACAGCGCCACTTTTTGCTTTGGAAAGCTGAGTCCTTAAAGAATAGAGAAGTTTGGAATTTTCAAGACAACGCTTAAAGAAAAACATGAAGAAAATCTTTCAGTGTTAATGAATACCTTGGACGAAAGAATCAGAAATGAAATGACAAAACCAAAGTTCTCGAAAACTGATCATCATATTCCAGAAACTGCATATCAGAAACCATACGAGAACAAAACCACAAACGTCAGCTTTAGTTCAAGGGAAAGAAGTAGTTAAGGAATCTCGAAAAAAGAAAAAAAATAATGACTGGATCCTCACCTCAGCCAAGCTAACGCAGTATTTCGTTGTGGAACACCTCTTGGCAAGTACCAACTAGGATCCATGTACTTCATCTTCATATTTGCTGGCGTTTTCACATTCAAATGCGTATGAGGTAGGTGAGACCTGAACCTGAATGCATGAATTCCTCAGTTTGTTTAAAGATATGTATTACTGTCATTAAAGATACTTGGATGGCCCGCCTTCACTATTTGTGCGGGCCCCAGCGAAACCTCCACTTTCTCGGAGTTTTGCTGGCTTAGCTACCATGGTTCCCTGGAGTCCTGAAGTCAGCATAGTCATAATCTACCCCAAGTCGTCATTGTCACAGGTAGTCGCCGCATTTCTGGACCAGAGGGAGATTTGCCACCGCTCATCTAGTTAGATACAAGGAAGTCGGTGGATCTTGGAATTGGTGTACACTTAGCTGGGTTTCCTAGAGGAAACACCGAACTTCTTCTCAGTTTGAGAGACCCTGCAAAGGGGATGAATTCCTTTGTCGTACATCGCAGCCAGACACCCAAGAATACCTCCCAGCCACAATGAGGCGCTAAACCGTTGCGAGTGTTAACTAAGACAAGCTAAAGATATAAAGAGTAATGAGTAGATCACCACTTCAAATTCTATGATAGAATCAACAAAACTCACAGTTAAACAAGAAAAACAATGTTTGGAACACACACAACACACATAACTATATGACAAACCATTATATTCAGCAATCGTCATATTATTAACAGAAAAGTAATACCATACCTCTTCAGAATTCCCGCAACACTTTTTGAGGTTACGTCAGAATCCTCGACAACAATCCAGTGTAAATTAGGAACATGTGAAAGAGTATAAGATAGACGAGTAAGATCAGCTTTCTGTGTAGGACGAAAGCCGGTCGGTGTGACAAAATAAATCATAGGACCAGTTTCCCGATCAGTTCCAACGAGCCTCAATCGATCGCGAACACTGGAATTTTCTGAATGACCACCTTTCTATTTCACAATTTCGATACTTTAGTGGCCTACCTTCACAAAGAATCCAGTGGATCACAACACAAACCCTATGTTTACTACGCTCCCGATCCGACACGATCTTTCCTTAGGTTTCAGAAACTCACCTTCCAGGCCCGCACGGTAGGTATTCGCAAGCCTTTTTAGGTTAGAAACAGAATTCTTGCTTAGTCACTAAGGAATTACGATGGAAAATCCTAATGCACGTTTACAATGGAATAGACAACCGAATGTGAACGATACACTTTTTCAATGTTTTTCATCAATAAGCAGACACGAGGTTGTTAATATAGAATTTATTAGAACACAATTGCTGACGTTTCGGCGGTTTCGCCTTCTTCAGAGCCTGGAAAGGTCAAATTGAGATGCGATCTACTCAGCCAAACACTTTCATTAACAACCTCGTGTCTGCTTATTGATGAAAAACATTGAATTATCAATTAATGCCGAGGTTAACAGAAAGTCGGTCATGGGGATACACTTTTTCCTGGAGCACGTGTAGCGCAGTGGCCAGAAGCGCCCTGCAATACACATGGGATCGAACACCGTGCTCCAGACCCATCAATCCCTCCATTCTTCTGAAATCGGCAAGTTGGTGCCAGACTTGTCTGGGAGGATAGCAGCACTGGCTCGATACATTGGTAGGCCACCGCTAGTTATTGTAAAGGCCAAATATACATTCAATTACCTCTAACGATGCTTGACGAAATCGAATAATGGCGCATACCTCACGGACTGATCAACGCCGAGAGCTTCAACCTTTATTCCGTATACTTTTTCTTCGCCTAGGACTAAATTGGGTAATGAATCCACTTTCGCACTCCCCTCTATTAGCGTAACCATAAACGATACTTTGAATGAAATAAAAAGTTCAGATACCAAAAATAGGACAACTCACAGAACTTCCAGTTGTTGTTCCTTTCGATCTAATCGCACTATCTCACGCTCTTTGGTCGCAATTTCTATGAGCAAGCCGTCACGCTTTCGCTCCAGTGTTTGTATCTGAAACGGAAGACCATATTTGGAGTTCCAAAACTATATTAAATTTAAATTGTCAGTTGCATATTCAACGCAGAAGGATGTCTTAACTAAATTACACTTCACTCACCTCAGCTTGAACAGTAAGCTTCTCTTCATCCAAATACTGAACTCTTGAGATCATGAAACACAACTGGCACACGAAGAATAATGCCACCGCAGCGAACGCCCGAAACCACCAACGGTCGAATACCGTCCTCATACTTCAGTCTACATCTTAAACTTTTCACGAAAAGATCTGCTTGAAATATTATTGAATGAAAAGAGCAAAGTACTTTTCAAAGAACCTTCCACAAAAGAAAACGAAAAGCACGAGGCTCCTAACACGTAGCGTCGCGCAAATGTTGCATTTTCCGTATGACGTACACAACTACATAAAGGACGTGTGCGAGATGTATAGCGTCACTTGAAAACATGATAAGTTCTCATGAACTGATCTTGTTGAAATCCTAGGTTGGTATACGTTCTCATTACTGTTGTTGTTGTCGTTGTTGTGGTTCTTATTGTGGCTCTTGTTGTTGTTGTTGTCGTTGTCGTCGTTGTTGTTGGTGATGTTGGTCGATGGCTTGCTTGTCCCGCTCGTCGCACTCGTAACGGCACGGCTCTGAGGAAGGCGAAATCTCCGAAACGTCAGCCAGTGGTTCTCGCTTCCAATGAAAATTGATGGCGTTGGACGCCGTTGTCGCCTTCAGTGGAAGCTGATGATGCTGCACGCCGCGATCGCTGTCTTCTGGACGAAGCTATTGGTGCTGGACGCGGCGACCACTGTCTTCTGAACAATGTCAGTAGTGCCAGTAGTGCTGGACACAGCGGCCGCTGTCGCTGCCGAAGTTCTGTGCGCCATGCTTCTCGCTTTCGCTGAAATCTAGTAGTGCTGGGCACCACGGTGTTCGCTCTCAGAGATGGCTAATTGTGTCGGTTGCCGTGGTCCAGTACTGATGGTGCTAAGTGCCTACCACATCGGTCCTCGTAAAAAATGATAGTGCTGAGCGTCTCGACTCTCCGTCTGCTGAAAACTGATAGAGCTGTGCACTCGGTCTATCCAGTAACCATAAACGTAGATCGTTCGTCATTGATCAATCCCTAAATAATCCGCTGTGCATTCGATTCTATTTAGCATCGTAGAGGTTATTAAATGCATGTATGGTTTATTTAAGGATTTACTGCGTCTATCGGTATGAGGATCTCCCTCATATGAGGAACATCGAGCCGGTTTATCGCGAGGCTACGTGGTGCGTCCGCAGGTCGCGGATAGGCGCTAATTACGGGCCAAGAGCTATCTTTCCTTCCATGGGATCTTGCTGGATTCAAGGTATGGACTCCTCCATGTTTCTGCTGCTTTGATTTGGCCCATACTTTATGCATTTGCGAGGGCATATTCATTATTGCGTCCGAGGGTGTTTTCGTCTATGCGAATTGTACTCTAGGAGTCACTTCTGCCAGAAGCCTGCAATCAAGTAATACGGAAGTATACGGGAGTCGGTTACCAGTCGCTTCCAAGAAATAGGCTCCATGTCCACTCTGTGAGAGACTAGCAAGCTAGCTGTGAGTATACCCAGCCGACACGTTGAAAGCTCAGAGTGTGTGTGTACTTGTGCGTGTGGTGCGAGCGTGCGCGCGTGCGCGCGTGAGTGTGAGTGCGTGTGTGTGTGCGCACGCATGTATGTGTGGTGTGTGTTTGCGTGTCGGTATATATGACGGTGGATGGGCCCGTGTAGTGCACGGATTTATGCGTGTGTTTATGTGTGCGTGTGTATTTCTATCCATCCGTCTTTATGCGTATCTGGGTATGTCACTTTACTTCTGATTGCTTGTTCTATCTGACCGCGTTTCTCCTCCCGTGTCTCCGCATCTGTCTATGTCCTCGCCATCTGTCTGCATCTCTGTAACATGCTCTCTGTCTCTGCTCTAATGTCTTTATCCCCTTGCCTCTCCGTGTGGACGTCATTCCTATGGTGTACATATCATGTAGTGGCAGATCTGCATGAGCGCGGACGTGTAAATATGCCTATTTATTTATAGATACACAAGGGAAGATCGGCTGAACTGTTGAAGAGGACATATCTTAGCCACAATCAATGATGAACTCTGCGATTACAAAACATCTTAGTCTTAAAACAGCCGTTGTAAACAGCGAATTTTTTCGTTGTTTGCTTCTAAATGAAAAATATAGATAATGATGAATTGTATATTTTGTTTCGAAGTATTCACATAAAGCCTGAAGAGCTCTCGTCGTTGATCAATCCCTGAGGGATGCGCTATGCATTCGACTTCATCAAGTATCGTTTGGAGGTGACTGAATGCCTATCTGGCCTTTACAATGACTCGCGATGGTCTACCGATGTACCGAGGCAATGGTGCTATCCCCCCACACAATTCTGGTAACAATTTGCCGATCTCAGAGTGATAAAAGGCTGGCTTGGTTGGCCATGGGCGCACGGATCGATCCCACGTGTGTGTTTCAGGGCGTCTCCGACCACTGTGCCACACGCGCCCAATATTCACATAGTGAAGAAAAGCTATAAAATATCTACTGACATTATGATGGTGTTTGGCTGAGTGGGTTGCATGTCAGTTTGACTTTTCCAAGCTCTGCAGAAGGAGAAACCTCAGAAAGGTCAACCAGCATTGTATTGAGTGAAGCTCACTGTTAACAACCTCATGTTTTTGCACATCAAAAAAGAAATGTATTAGTAGAAAACATCTATTATTCACTACCACTGACTAGACAGCGGCGGCTTCTGTAAAACATTGCATCTGAGTTGTTTATCCCTTGGCTCCATCGTCTTGTATTGCAGCATTGAGTGGAACATCGCTGAGAAAACACTCAAACTGCACCGATTGCTCACCTACTTTCCTTCGCAAACGGCTCACGCCAATATTACCGGACAGGCGACGAATGGCTGGTCTGGAAAATCTCACGCGCGTTCTGCGCTTAGAAATTCTGCCATTGGAACGAACGACGTTAACAGGTGTCTCCTAACGGCTTACCATTTCTTGTGGAGCGGATTGGTAGGAACGTTCTCTGAGGTGGGTATCGGTGATTGATGCTGGGTTGCAGATTGAGTAAGTTCATTTCTTATCGTCCTCACAGCTAGCCATCATGAATGACAACGGCCAATTAATTGCCCATCCTTGCTGCAATTCGCTTTTACAAGCCATCCAGTCCACTCCGGGCCTCCCGTCATCGGTTATTCGGCACGTTACATCGCTCTCGAGCACTAAGTCTACTAATCGCAACAGTTTTCTATTTTCTTCCATTCTTTCGCTGTACTGCTTTGCTTCTATGATTTCTGTAGGTCCCTTTGTAAATAAATATATGCCTATATGTATATCACAGTGAACGTGGCCAGGATTCAAATGTTTGACTTAACTCCAAATTAACTGTGTTTCTCCATCGTTGGCTGCTCATATACCGGAAGACGGTGATTGAGAGTCAGAGAATAGTTGCTCTTCACTGGCGGGGACAAGAAATACTTTCACTGCAGCACATATAATATAAAATATCCTAAACAGATTTTTGCAGCCAATGCAAGAAACGTTTACGATTTGATTGCTTTAATAGTTACTTATTTGTTACTTGAACGGCCCGTCCTCAGTGGGCCCCAGCATAATCTCTGTTTTTCGAAGATTAGCTGGTTAAGCCACTGTCACTGTCGTTCCCTGGAATCCCACGGTCAGCTTGGCCAAAGTCTATCCCAGGTCTTCACCACCGCAGGTAGTTGCCGCTCTTGTGGATCAGAGGGAGATTTACCACCATGCGACTTTGATACCAGGACGATGGTAGATCCTGGTATTGGTTTACTCTTAGCTACGCTTCCTGAAGGAAACGTCGGACTCCTCAGTTTAGGAGACCATGCCGGGGAGACGAATCGCACAGCTGTATATCGCACTACCACACTCAGGAACACCTCCGAGCCACGATGAGGCGGTAAACGGTTGGTAGTGATTGCTGCAATATTGACTACAAAAAGGATGCCGACTGCATAAGATGTATTGGAAATTGAATGCCAAACCCATACTCACTTTGTCACCTCTGTTTCTGAAGAAGCGCATTTGTTCTCCTTCGTCGGAACTTCAAAATAGTGTAGATTCATGTCAGCACCTTCTTCACCAACGACAAAGTACATAATACTTTTTCTGTAACGCCGACCGACCATTGTCATAAAGCTATCTTTGGTAAATTATCACCTGTATTTCGTCCCACTGATCGACGAGTGACTTGAGCGCGGCAGTAAAATAAACGGGACTCATTCCCCTGATCCCAAAAGAGCCTCCGGATTCGGCAGCATTGTGTAGGACGAGTATTGAAACGGTGCTGAAATCTCAAGGCCATTCGAGGCTGCCTAAATTGCATAGGAACACGGTGACTATCTGGACGATCTGTTCCTACAATACACGCACACTTTCATCTAAGTCCTTCATGGAAGAGTTGATCGTGCAAGCAAAAAGGATAAGGTACGACGTCATCCGCCTGGCCGAGAAGAGACGACGCCATCGTCTCGACGCCGTCTACGACACCGGAGAAGAACTGTTCCTCGGAACATGTGACAGTAGAGATGTTGGCGGTGTTAACGTTCTCGTCAACACGAGTTTGTCTATGAACATCTATTTATTCGAAAAACTAACAACCCGAATTAAACGTTTACGATTGAAGAGATGTGGATTAATACCGGGCTTTGACAGCCTTCATCGTTTACGTAGCCATTTCAAGCTGTGACAGAGACGAATTCAAAACGTTCTATATGGACTAAGAGAAGTTTTACAGAGAAGACTATACATTCTTTAAGGTCATATTTGGAGACTACAACGCCAAGATTGGACGCAGAAGAACGTCTAAAAACATCACATAGCCTATGGGTTAAAATGGAACGAGCAGAATAGGCGCCTGTCTGAGCTTATCATGAGACCAAAGTAATTCATGGTAACTCGGAATTCCAGAAGCCCTACCCTCAACGTTGTATGTGGAAGTGCCCCTGTGGAGAGTACCGTAATGAAGTAGACCACATCGTAATAGACCGAAGGAACTGCCTTGTCGATGTCGGTGTTGTCCCAAAATTATACACGGTACCAGACCGTCGTCTCCTTCGTACAAGGTCTCATTTCTTGCTGAAAGGAGAAGACGCTGCTAAATTCGAAAAACGAAGCACTAACACCACCATAAACAGATGTGTTCAATTCATTAGTCGACTGTTGGAAAGCACAGTTCTTAGCAACATTGACAAGGAATATGATCGGCTCATTAACATTTTCACATTAGCGCTATCAAATTTGATAGTTCGAAAGTCACCAAGAAACGTCTGTTTCCAGAAACACTCGAGCTGAACGCCAGTAATGGAATCGCAAGAACTGCAGGCAACCGCCTACTCACGTCTGAATTTGCATAACAATGCAGACAGGCAATGAAAGAAAATGTTAGAGAGCGAAGAGCAGTTATGGCCGAAGCTGGAGAAGCTGGGAAAAGCATCCGCAAAGCTCAACAAATCTTTGCCAATTACAAAACCAAGACGATTGCACTCCGACGCCCAAACGGAACAGTTACAGCGTCCAGAAAGGCAATCGAGGAAATCATTCACGAATACTACTCGGATCTCTTCAATAGCCACGTCCTCTTTCCCTCATATGAAGTAAAGGAGGATGTATATGTAGCACCACCGATTCTCCGTTCCGAAATACGACATGCTATTTCGTCGGTGAAAAATCAAACAGCTCCAGGTCGCGACAGGATAAAATCCGAACACCTGAAGAACCTTCCGCCAGTCTTCGTCAGCACACTGGCTCGGCTCTTCACACGTTACCTGTCTGAATGCAAGGTCTCTACCCAGTGGAAGACCAGCAAGCCAGTGCTATTGCTCAAGAAGGGTGACCTTCACGAATCCGCAACTATCACCCAATATGCTTGCTGTCTGTCGTCTACAAACTTTTCACTCGAGTCATCCTAAACAGGATTGACAAAACACTGAAGGAAGAGCAGCCATATGAGCACGCAGGGTTTCGGAAAGGATTTAGTACGATGGACCAAATCCACACGACAACAAGGCTCACCCACCGAAGTATCGCGAGAGTACAAAAGACCGCTCTGTCTCACTTTCATCGATTTACAGAAGGCCTTTGATTCAGTAGAGACAGAAGCAGCATGGAAGCTCTGGACATTCAAGGAGTCTCTACTAAAAGAACAGATTTTTGGTGAGCTGTATAAAAAGTTCTTAATTGGAACATCACCATTCTACAACGATAGTAACACTAACGTCAAGAAAAAAAATTAGGCAAGGCGATACCATCTCGCCAAAATTATTTATCGCCACCATCGAGAACGTTATGAGAACATTGGAGTGGAATAACATGGGAGTGAAAATCGATGGTCGGCAGTTACATCATCTTCGCTTTGCTGATGAAATCGTCCTTATAACACCAAACATTAGCGAAGCGGAACGTATGTTTGACGACTTTGATAAAGCCTGTGCAAGGACTTCGACTAAACCTCACAAAAACGATGTTCATGAAGGACGGATTGGTTTCGAATGCGCCATTCACGCTTAACGGAGCGAATATTTCCTGATGCTCCAGTTATATCTATCTAGGTCGGGAAATTAATATGATGTACGACCTAGCTCCAGAGTTGAGCAGAAGAAAACCAGCGGCTTGGGGAGCTTTGAAGAGCATCGTAGATGTAGTGAAGAGAACAAAAAACACCCCACTCCGTGCCCACCTTTTTGACTCAGCAGTACTTCCTGCCTTAACACGTCAAAAACGTGGTCGCTGCGTAAACAGGATGAAAAATCACGCAGCGTTGTTGAACGCGCAGTCGAAAGGACGATGCTAGGAACATTCCTTGTGACGCAAGTGAGGGAAGGGATCCGAGGCTAAGAGCTACATCAATTATCAGAAATAAGAGTCATCATTCTATGCGCCAAATTGTCGAAGATTGTGTGGACACGTATTACATCTGAACGACAATTAATGGACAAGATCCGTTAGCGACAGGATTGCCCGGATATCAAAGGCACAGCAGTTAGACCAGCGAACCCATAGTCAGAATTCTTTGCGAAAACCTGAGAAGAATATGGTATACAGCGAGTCCCTAACCCACAGGGTTGTTCTTGCACGCAACAGGGAGAATTGGAAAGTTTACTGGCGGCTGTTCGAATCAGTTGCCGATCAACGGGACGACAGATTGGACTTGCACGGGGTTTGGCAGAGCTCCATATTAGTAAGTTGCGACTTAACTATGAAAGCAAAAAACACGAACATTCTCGTTAGCTTGATCCTCTGGCATCCGTGGAATTGGAGCAACTATTGAAGTCCTGAGAACATTTCTGTCTCAAAGCGGCAAACATCCATCTGGTTCAAAAGTCTCCGATGAATATCTAGTGCAACTCTTGCACAAATATCAGGAATCCTGCAAAACTCCGTATGACTATCCGATATTTAATACGTCAAATAAAATGTGAAGACTGCTTAAGATGTCGCGTAGAAAACCAGTCATTTCTATGCATTTTTGCTAGACAACGGAACGAATGTGTTGAGTCTCCACAACATATGACGACAGGTTCTCTCGTTATTCAATTAAAAAATACCAAAGTACAACACTGTTTTAACGCCTCGTTCTTTTGTGCTAGAAAATCTAACACGGTACAACTCTCATGAATTTGCTGAATCAATGTACTGACAAAGTCAAGAATTATTGTGGACATTGTTGGCGTCGACAACCTATTAGTGCATTGTTGAAGTCAACAATTTATTACTGCCATACATTCAATTATTAAAAGAGGAGAACGTAAAGGAGACGCTAGAAAGACCAAGTCAACTACTAAGTACGCAAAGTGAACAAGTTTTCGAACCTCAAAATGCATAGTAGTACGTAATAAAATTGAGTACTTATACAGATCTTAACTTTAGCTCTCACTTCTTTACGTATATCGACGAGATCATTTCTTAAACAATTGGCTAGAAAATTACAGAAGTACACCCTAAATATGCAGCATGAAAATATGAAAAAAAACAACAAACGAGGCGAAAGATGTAACTCTTAAGTTCACGGTCTAAAAATCATCTGTTTCCATATCTTCGTCAGCATCCATATCTTCCGTAGTTTTTCGGACGTCTTCCTTGACTTTTTCACGCAGTTCTTCGAGTAACTCCTAAAGAAGACTCTATTTCCTAAACAATTCAACCCAAGGATGAAGACATCTATGTATAACTATTCGGACGATCATAGATAGACACCTATTCCATAAGTGTCGTTTTTGTTTCCCCGATTTGACTTTAACGGTGCTAAAATAATGTGAATTCAAGTCATACCAATGTGAGCGATTGTTTCCAAAAAAAAAAAAAAGGAAGAAACATCAACCGCAGGAATCCAGCCGTAAACTTTGGGCTCCGATGCTTGAGTGATACCGATGTGAGAAAATCTCCTGAAAAAGGAAGGAACACCCACCGCCGGAATCCAGCCGTAAACTTCGGGCTCCGATGCTTGAGTATGATCTCTCTTAAGAAGCGCGTCTGCTAACGGTAGTTTGATATCGCATAGACTGTACCACATTTGTCGAACTCTCGGGAGGCGACCTTCAGGAACAATGAAAGAATTGAGTGAATAATCCAAGAAAATAAATGTAATTCAATAACTTCTAAGTAAAAGATATAGGTGGAAAAGTTGCGATTAACGCCGCACATGAAGATTTTGATGACATTGTTGGAGGTAGTAGTTTTTAAAAAAGATCAATAGAAAAAAAGCCACCTGGTTGATAGGTAAAATGAACTGGCATATTGTTATCTAATGATAGGCTGCGGTCCGAAGATACCTTGAGCCGCTGGCGTTCCGGTATTTTCGTATGTTGTCTAAACAATGCGAACAATAAGGATAAAAAAAGAAACGAAAAATATTTTAAGTACCACGATGAGGTATATAAAGACAACACATGTAATATAGGCTCTCCGGAAATTAGTGTAGTAACATATTCCACTTCACAATAAAGTTTATTAATCGGACAACAAGACAGCACCTGAAGCTAACCATCAAAGTTTGATAATGCTTGGATTCTGGATCAACACGAGGATCATATCCGAATTTGCACCAAAGTCTGCCCCAAGGTCCTGATAGAATATAGAAAGCAAATTTCTGTAGTAGCGTCCTGAACGGAAAGATGAACTAAACATACCATTAGACGCACAAGAGGAAACAATAGTGACCATAATGACAGTAAAGCGAAGGCACAACCAAAGATACGATCATGTGTGTTCTGTGTTGTCAAGGAAGGAACTCAGTTCCCATCCACGAAATATCCATAAATTACTTAAGAACGAAGGGCAAAATTGTAGCAAGAAATTTTAAGTCTTGATGCACAACTCGCAATTTAAGAGTTAGTATTTTTCGAAGTAGTGATAAATATAAGCCTGCTTTATCTGAAATCGACTGCGTAGTAATGGGAAGCACTCAAAAAGTATTAGAAAAAAGTATCGAAGAACTACTTCAGAAATAGCTGCGTGGTCGTATGCGCCCACAAACAATTTGGAGTATGCAGAAAGGTACAGCTTATTCCAAATTAAAGAAGGAAAAAACTCGATCCCTACCACAGACATCCACAGCCCGGAGCTTTGCGAAATAAATCATTGCAGTTAATTTTCAAAGCATACCTTGTCATGAAAAAAGAATGGTCAGTAAGTAAAAAAGTGACTACATTGTGAGTTATACTACAGCTTCAGCTTAATCAATCCCGTTGACGGGTGACTGCTGACAGCGCCCATAAAAACAGGTTGATAGGAAGGCCAAATGAAGGATTCGCACGGTGTGGTGGTGAATGCGTTCGCCTCAGGAAAGAAAAAACAGCATGTTCGATCCCCAACGCAGACACCTCCGGTCCGGAGCATTGCAAATATCTCAGCATCATTGTATTTAAATAAGAAATTCATTTGGCGACCGATAGCGTTATAAGTGTTATAACTTGAATCCGTGATGTTGTCACTGGTAGGATGGAATCATGAAATAAAACGAACTTGAGTAGCGTATCCTCCAGATTTGTTTTATAAGCTATAGCATTCCGCGTCCACATTGGCCTCTCACGAAACAATGCGGCTAGCATTTTATGTGGTTCTTCATTTTTGCACCTTAAACAATAAAATTGTTATTGATAGTAGAAAGAATAATACAGAACTTGAAGCTACTTCACGCATGCTATACACTTCGTATGTTGTTCAACAATAGCGAATTACGGAAAAGAAATCAATGCACACATACAATTCACCATATAAAATCGAAAACAATTCCCATACCTGAAGTCTGCATCCATGACAGCTTCTTCCGATGGAGCTGTAGGAAATGGATCATTGGCATGCACTGTGATCGACAAAGCCTTCCGTTCAATTCGCAGGTCTTAAAAAAGTTTCCATAAATGTTTATTGTTAAAACAACAACGCATAAGGATTGAAAACTTACTCTGTCCATGCCCTGACTTCTTTCGAGGTTTATCTACTGCGAAATCAGTCTCACGACATAAGATCTTGTTTGATGGTGAATTATAGCGACTAAACTGAAACGGCGGTAGAAATAGAGGAGTGTAGCCAGGATGAGGATCTGGTCGATCCCACCTTAAAAAATGCACTAAAACATAGAAGCACCATCCGTAACTACCTGCAATATTTTCTACATATCTTCCAATCGAGAACCAAGATTTGAAAGTGGAAATGAAGGATAAAATCCTTTCGTCGATTGAAAAATAAGAATTAAAAGTGGTAAAACACACACCAGCACAGTGCACTTGGGAGGTCTAGAGGAATAAGTCGAGGCAGCAGGTCATCGAACCCTTCTCCTTGCTGCCGCTTTTTTAGTGGCAGATATTGAAAATCACACATTGTATCAAATGTATACACGTAGTTCACCTGTAATATAACTTTTCTATACTAATTTAAAATACTTTGTAAAAAAACTGCCCGCGAAGCTTTCCTTTGTGAAAACTTACTGTCATCGAGACTGGAGAGATAAACATGAATGTTCAAAGGCAAAAACCTTACAGAACGAAGGGTGAATAAAGAGTTCAACTAATTAACAACTGTTATCAAAACCCAAACAGGTGACCAAATAATAAAATAAGTAAGAAGTGAAATGTCAATATCTGATAAACAATTGCAAAATAGAGTAAATTTGTGCTAGCATGAAAGGTAAAATCATAGCATAAAATCATATGCAGATAAGGATATCCTCCTAACGGTTTGCCGCCTCGTCGTGGCTGGGAGGTGTTCCTGAGTGTCGGGCTACGATGAACAGCGGGGTGATTCGTCCTCTCAATAGGGTCACCAGAGCTTAGAAGGTGTCCGGCGTTTCCATCAGTGAGCGTAAACCAGTACCAAGATCCACCACCATCCTGGCATCAAATTGATCGCATGGTGGCAAATCTCTGATTCACAGGGGCCGCAACTACCTGTGATGGTGACGACCTGGGACAGACTTTGGCCGGGCCGACTTCGAAAATCTAGGAAACAACAACGCTAAACTAGCAAACCTCTAGAGAATGGAAATTATGCTGGGGCCACACAACCGGTGAGGACGGGCCATTCAAGTATCCAAGCTAGGTAAGAAAATAATAGACATAAAAAAGAAAAATAAAATTCATACTAGATTCACATCTATATTACATTGAAAATACTTGTTTTAAATTAAGTCGTAACCTTCCATGTTTCCCTAAAATTCCCAATTCTTCCGTTGTCTTCTGTTGAAGCTCAATTCAGTGCTAAATCTTCTAGGAACTCCTACTCACCAAACCTAGACAATTAGTTTCTATAATTTCTGGATTCTTCTTCTTTCGTCTTACTTGCATTACCAATCGTATCGTTCCAGATGTTACCTAGACAATGCACTGCATACAAAGCGTGTAGAACAAAGAAAGTAGCGACTAAAAATACAAAAAACTTGCCATTTTCGATTCACTCACATTAGCGTCAATCTTCTTTTCAGAAATTGATGCGCTTGTGTAAGGATTTTCTGGCGTGTGCCGTAACTCAAGTGCTTGGCCGTTAAAGTGATTCTTAAAGCACATAGGTAAGGAACCACACGAATGCAACTCGTACAGCGATAATCAACATCAAGGATTAAAAGTATCTAGCACCTGTGTGATCCGTGAAAGACCTCCGAGGGTTTCTAGAGCTCTATCAAGATTCTGAACAATGCCTGGATAATGTATGACGATTAATTCTGACTGAACTCCCTCCACAGGTCGCTTTCGATAAGCGTGCATTACTAAAAGTTTGAAGGATAAAGGTAAAGAATAAGGAAAGGAAATCGTCGTGTACAATCACATTACTTCTCCAGCCTTTTTAGCAGATAGATGGTGGAAAAAACTTATGGAAAAAAAACAGAAGGGCGACAAGCAAATTATTTATCTCCATCGTCACAAAACATTTTCATGATTATAGGACTATGAAGAGAAGGACAAAAGCAAAGGTTACAGGGATAAAGGTCAGATAGCACCCGAATGATAATTGTTAAGAGAAAAACTGAAGCAGCTACGACTCATGAATGTATTACACAGGTGAAAAGATGTGAGTACAGGACCACCAATTTGAGTAGTAAGGGATTTTATAAAATTTACAAGCTTCCACTCAACCTACTTTAAATACAATGTTCAGAGAACCGGAACATCAAAACGACACAAGAAGCACGGAATCATAAAGATTTGTATACTAAAAACAGGAGAGTGAACATTAGAAATACAGCAACAACCAACAGTAAGAGACGATTTTGAATGACCCTGAAATGAACATTTCATGAAGGACATACTCAACTCAAATAAACCGGAAACATATGACACCATGAGCGTCACTTTCTGCACAAAACCCATCGTGAAAAGAGATAAATCACCTCCCGATCATAGTGTTCAGAACACGATTGCTCCTTCCTAATTCAATATCTGCTTCACGCATTCGTTCTCGAGCACGATTGATCGTTTCCCGCTGAGACGACAAATTTCCCAGGACTTCGGTTCCAATCTATAGTTAATTGTTAAAATAAAACATGTTTACTAAGAGCTACTGCCAGAAGATCACCTGTTCAGTTTCAACTGCCATGCGATAGGCGTCCTGAAGTTTCCTCGACGATCTCTCTAATCTTTCTGTATTTGCTATTAACTGTTCTTCCTAAAATGGAGCAAACCCTTTACGAAATAGTGTAGAAATAAGTCCTTAAATTGACCTGTTGGTCCATCTCTACTGCTTCGTCATAAGCAAGCAACTCGTCTCTATCGGCGGTCTCTCGCAAACGTTTGATTGCCTTCTCGAGTTCATTGTCTAGTAGACGCTTATCGTTGTGATAACTCCGTACTCTTAGCTCATACTTGGTGCGCTCACTGCTACAATCACATCGACTTAGAATAGATAAGACAAAATCTGTTAGACATCGTGTTAGAAAAGAAATACTTCATTTATCTATTTATTTAGGAAGCATTTAATATATATATGTATAATGATATTAATATATAATTTAATATATATATATATAATAATATTAGTATATTAATATTTAGGAGGCATAACTCTCCCTGACGGCGCGCGCTCGTTATTAGAATTGGGGCCGAGTTTCCCACCATCTGAACCCATTTCTAAGATAACCTTGCGTAGGGTCGCATGTGGTTTACATGAACTTCAAGATAGACTCCACAAAAAAGCTAGAGATGAAGCGCTAAATAGGTGCGAACAACACCAAGTGGGGGCTCTACCAATAGCACCATTTCACCCGACGTTCTTTAGACAACAAGAGCCCAATAATGAAGTTGATGTTAATTTTCGGATGTTTGCGAATGAAGCTCTCAAAGTCCTTAATCACCATCGTGCGAAAAGATACAGCTCAAACCTCACTCCAGTGCAAAAACGTGGTATGCGAGAGGTACGAGAGATGATAAGGTTGAAAACCATAAGACTATACGTTAGTGATAAGGGTGGAGAGTTTGTCGTAATTCCTCATCAGTTGGATGTGGAGATAACGAAAAAGCATCTTGAAGATGCTTTGCTTTATCGTCCATCATCTGAGGAAGAATTCAAAAGTAAATACCGAAAATTAAACCACGAATGGGCCAAAATGGCAAGGGCTCCTGGTATAAAACCATCAGTTATCTCTCAACTTAAAGTTGACTTACCAACATGCCCCGCCTTGTACTTGTAAAAACTCATAAGTTAGTATCCAGCGATGATCTTGCGTCCACCGATCCATCACTATTTAAGATTAGACCTATCATTAGCTGCGTAGACGGGCCAACGGACAGGATAACATGGCTTTTAACCCTGATATTTAACCAGTTGTTGAAACACATTCCAACCCATCTTACGAATACTAAGATGATTCTGGATCGTCTACGTACTGCGCAGCCCAACAGCGCGTGCGTGATGGAGTCCTTCGACGTTACCGCCCTTTATACAAACGTGTCGAATGACTCCGCAATGCAAGCCATATTCGAACTCCTTACACAACACGAAGGAGAAATAAACATGTATGGCTTCAAATAGAGCACCTGATGGCACTCTTAAAAGAATGCTTGAGCTGCTCAATCTTCAGATGGTCTGGAAAGTACTACGCTCAAATAAGAGGGTTGGCAATGGGACAACGACTGGCTCCAAGCCTTGCCATTGCATTTATGTCTAAGGTGGAAGCACCGGTGACTGATCTCGGGCCGCTACTCTACTGTAGGTATGTAGACGACTGCTTTGTCCTTTGCTCAACACAAGAGGAAATGGACAAATGTTTCGAATTGTTAAACGCACAGTCAGAGTATATCAAGTTCACCCGAGAAAAGCCGAAAAAAAAATGGTTTCCATTTTTGAACGTACTAATTCACCTATCAGAAAATGGCTACATTACGAAGTGGTACCGAAAGCCAAGTAGTAAAAACATCCTGGTTCATTACCTCTCCTCTCACCCCTCTCACACGAAAAGGGCGCTTATAAGAAACATGTTTCGAACAGCAACCAACGTGTGCACGGGAAGAGAGCAGAGAGAGGAGTCCCGGAACTTGGCGCGGCAAATAGCCATTTCTAATGGCTACGAAACTGTAGCTCAGGATAGGTGTAGAGGAAATCGTAGGCCTCCAAACGACAACTCTAGCGATAGAAGGGTCCCGTTCATCCTACCCTTCATCTCAAATGATATAAGTACAGCTATAAAACGCTGCTTAAGAAGGGCGGGCTTAGAGAATTCGGTGAGTGTAGTTGAAATACCACCGAGTAATCTTAAGCGCCAGCTAGTTCGTAACCGCCTATATGACCGTCTATGTGCAACTCAAAATTGCATAATTTGCCCCAGTGGTAGAGACGGTGATTGCATGAGCTCGGGTATAGTTTATCTGATCTCCTGTAAGACGTGTGGTGACGAATACATTGGCGAAACGGGTAGACCCCTCTGTGTCCGCATGAAAGAACACCTAGCCGGCAAAAATAGACCGAATACCCCGCTAGGCACGCATAGGACCCAGAGACATAACGGGGACGACTTCGAAGTATGTGTCACGATCCTCGCACGCGAATCAAGAACACAGGCGCGAAAAACTCTCGAGGCACTCTGGATTAATGCCAGAAATCCGAAAATGAACCGCAGGGAAGAATGCCTCATTATCACGTGTGATATAGGGCAGTATATAAAACTGCTATTCTGATGGGAGGGTCACATTATACTTCCATATGATTTCTGTGCGGTTGTTCTCTACGTGACATACTTAGTGGAAACCTCATAGGAAGCGGTGAGTGTGCAAAGCTGTGTTCAAAGTGATTGAAATCTTGGTTTAGAGTTTCTTTATTTGGTTATGGAGGCGTCTGGCCTGGTAGATTGCTATCAACTTGACCTTTACAGGCTCTGAGGAAGGCGAAATACGCCGAAACGTCAGCTTATTCGTGAATAAGGAATAATAACACGTCGCGTTTGCTCAACAAAAATACGAAGAAAAGAAATATTTCCAGCCCATCAATAAGAATTGCAAAGATAAGACACTAGTAATAAATAGTCGCTCTTTCACTAGAGTTGAGAAGACACTATGAACTCTCAAAATCAACATTCTAGTCAAAAACTTACAGTACCTCCCAGCTGCCAGATCTCGCACCGCTAGTTCCATTTGCTCAAGAAGTTCAGCGACATCACTTAGTACTCGTTGAACTGCCATTACACTAGCAGGTCTATCCGAAGCAGGTAATGATGGTAGACGTGCGATAGCAGCCGTCACCTATATTGTACACAATATAGTAGAACTACTTCTCAAGGTCTTGCATAAACAATGAGCACTTTTTTTATTTACCGCCCCTTACAAGTTTTCACTGAAGAGTATTATTTATGAAACAACCACAATTATGCTGAGATATTTGTAAAACTCCGGAACGCAGGTGTCTGCGGTGGGAAACCAACGCGCTATTGTCCTTTCCGGGGAGTAACGCGTTCACCACCACACCATGCGGGTCCTTCGCATCGCCTGTCTCTCAGCTAGTTCTAGGAGTTTTGTAAATATCTCAGCATCATTGTAGTTGTTTAACAAATAATATCCTGCCGTCAAAACTTGTAAAAGGCAGTAAATAAGAAAAAAGTGAACATTGCGAATTGCAACAATAGCCCTAGCTTAACTGGGTTCAATGCCGATTTGAGCTCCATAGATCAATCCCGTTGACGGGTGATTGCTGATGGGTGTGACCGATAGAACTAGCTGATAGACAGGAGAAACGAATGACTACCATGGTGTGGTGGTGAACGCGTTACTCCCCGGAAAGGACAATAGCGCGTTCGTTCCCTACCGCAGACACCTGCGGTCCAGAGTTTTGCAAATTTTTCAGCATCGTTATGGTTGCTTCACAAATGAGCACCTTATTTGAGTAGCACGTGTTAAGCCTTTTATAACACGCATTAAAATAATTTCGTACATTCTCCCTGTACGTTACCTACTTGGATGGCCCATCTCCCTTGGTTATGCGAGCCCTAGCAATAATTCTCATTTTTTCGGAGCTTTGCTGGTTTAGCTATCGTGTTTCCATGGAATCCCGAGTTCAGGTTAGCTAACGCTTGCCTCATGTCTTCACCACAACAGGCAGTCGCAGCCCTTGTAGATCAGTCGGAGATTTCCCACTATGTAACAAGTTTGATACCAGAATGGTGATGGACCCTGGTATTGGTTCGTTCTTAGATGGACTTCCTGATGGAAACTTCGGACTCTTTCTCAGCTTGGGGGGCCCTGCTGGAGGGATGAATCTCCGTTGTACACTGCAGACCGGAACCCAGGAATATTGCCCAGCCACGATTACGCGGTAAACAGCTGACAGGGTGATTCATATTCTCTCTACTAATTGCTTGAATTGATACAAAATAGTGGAATTAACTGCTAAACTCCAATAGCACAGCCAACATATACTTTTCTATTCTGGAAACCTACCCAAAAGTTAATGAGTGTCGTAAATTGTAAAAGTACGTAATTAACACCCATGGTCACGAAGCGAGCTTCTTCGATCCACCGGATCAGGCTACTGCCTGCCCCCGTGGCACTTGGGAAAGTACTTGGGAAAGCCGACTGCGCTTATCATCACAGAACCCCACGAAAAAGAGATTTATCAAACCGCCAAAATCCTCATCAGACGGGAATTATATGCTGCCTGCCAAACTCAACAAAATGAATGGTAACACCATCTTAAGTGAATATGATGACACACCTCAGATGTCTGTAGTGAGTACTGTTGTTCGAATTCACTCAACGTCGTTGACACGCCTCCTGCTTGCATCTATGACGGGTAAATATATGTTGTTGCAATCAACGCCTATATATAGACACATAAATAAATGATATTCAGTACTATACGAAATCACGTTCATATATAGAAACAATATGGTAAACAAATAACATTTATTTAAAACCAACAAACAGTGAAAACCTGGAAAATCAGCTGCAAGATTTCAATGCAGTGATCTAGGACCTATAATGAGCATAAGCTCTATTTGCTTCGCAAGTTTTATGTAGTTCTTGTTTTGCTTGTATCGTAAGTCCTTCGTTCTGACTGGCTAACAACAATTCGTTGGCTAGGATGTCCCTGAAAGATCGGGCAGTAATTATAAGTTCGTGTTCACTCATCATCACTGACCTGTCGTGTTCTAAAAACGAGGGAATCGTTTAACCACTAGGTCAGCTAACTAAGCATTAAACTTCTTGGCTACTAAGCTTCCTCAAACTAAGCAGAAAGTGTTGGATCAGCCCCATTCTAGGTAAACGTAACAGTGGCAGAAATACATCCAGAATTGGTCAAAAAAGCAACTCTGGATGAAAATGCTTTATCACACATTGCCTAAGCAACGCTGCAGAAGTTGAACGAGATCAGCTATAATACCCTTCTTCCTCCAACATAGTAGCCGAATACCACAAGTAAACTATCATGTTTTAAAATCTGGACAATTAGTTGGGAAACCATTCGGAAGCTAGCAACAGCAGGAAATACCTTCGAATGACTCTTCGTCTCCAGAATTTTAGAATTCTAAGATATTAAGGTAATAAGTGTATTTTATAGACAATAATACGCAGATCCTCACTGTGCTTATTTCGAATAGGAGTTCTTTCTACACTACAGCCTTTCAAATTTCCGTTCAAAAACGGCCGCTGTCCTTATCTCAGCCTGATATTTGGGTAGTTCACTTACCACCAATCTAAGAGTTATTCTAAAAAGCTTATAAGTTTAAGGGAGAAACATACTTTAAATGCGTTTCTCCATGCGCAGCCTTTTGTCGACATATGTCGCGCATCATCTTCATCGCACGAAATTCTGCTTCAGCTTTTTCAATGGGAAACGGAACTTGATACGTTGTACCACCTGTAGTGTATGTAAGCATATGTAAAAACTCATGCTTCAAGAAAAGACCATGGAATTGTTTAAGAACTGAACCTCTTGTAACTCCTTGCAATTTCATAAGAGGATGACAATTTTCTATGGCTCTTCTAGCAATAACAAAAGGATCCAACTCAATGTTGCACTGGAATCAGAAAACTTTGTTAGTCCAATTTCATATGGAAATTATTGCTCGATACTTTATTTTGAAAGAAATTCATCGTTGCTACTGATTGACCCACCTTCTCGCTCTCATCAGCTTGCCGCCATGCTTTATATTGTCGACTTTTGATGATCTCTAGAGCTGCATAGACATGTTTCTTAGCCGTTTCCTTCGCACCGCTTTTCATGAACACCCGTATCAACTTGTCTACCTAAACTTAAGACAAACATACGTAATCGCCCACCTTTACAGAGATTTACTGTACATGGTGAAATTCTCCGAAAACAGTCATGATAAATATTTCGAAACCGAATTTCCTTTAACCTCGGTGTGACTAATCAATATGTATTCTTTCTTGATGAGCCTACGCGAGGTTGATAAATATATTTATTTTCGGCTAACGTTTCGACGTCTTCGTCTTCATCAGAGCCGATGATCCGAGTCGATCTCCACGCTTGTTATTCGTCTCGATATGGCGGCTTCGCCTTTGTGTCGAGTCAGGTCTTCCTCAGCGGGCCATCTCGAATTAGGCATACTCACTTGGTGATGCGCTTTTATACACGATGCTGATGGTCGATATAACGATAATGTCCGGTTATAACAACTTGTTGTTCTTCCGGACATTGCATCGTGCAGAAGTCGGTGTTATTATCAGCTAGTACAAAGCATAGTAACATTTCGAAACCGACTCATCACCAAGTGAGTATGCCTCATTCGAGGAAATGGCCCGCTGAGGAAAACCTGACTCGACACGAAGGTGAAGCCGCCATATCGAGACGAATAACAAGCGTGGACATCAACTCGGATCATCGGCTCTGATGAAGACGAAGACGTTGAAACGTTAACTGAAAATAAATATATTTATCAATCTCTCGTAAGCTCATCAAAGAATGAATACATAGTCATAATAAATGTTGAACACAAAAGCTTGGGAAATTTCGCTGTTTTAGCCGCGTCCTGCGAGCCTGTACACTAGATAGATGCCCCACCACTGATCCAAATCCTTATGAATATTGTCTGTTAAAGTTTCCGAATGTGAAAATGCAAAACAGCAAAGAGTAACCAAAAGCACATTAGAAGTGAATCTCTTTGAGTATTCTTAGGTCGTTAATTCCCTTCCACTAACATTTTTCTACTACCGATACTTACTGTGTGATCTCTGTAAAACACTGGCGTCTCATCGCTCTTCATCGCTTTCAGAAACAAAAAGTTCCGTTCATCATTCTCATCCAGAGGTTCATGAGCCTATAATGACTAATATTTGTATAACACACCATATTCTATGCTTTCCGTTGAACATCTTAAAGCTGAGATTCTTAGGGAACATGAGCATCATATGATGCTTCTAAAATATAACGCAATGGTGTCGTAAGTCCGACTATTTCACGATCCCACGAGCCACTGACGCTCAATTTTTCGTTACTTTAACCTGAACTGACTGATGAAAAACATGTAATGAAAACGAGCTCATCGGCTAGGTAGTAGAACACAGTATGCTTACGAGCGCTTAGATTTCAGAATAGTCCCTAATTCCTAAATAGTGAGACAAAAAGATATTGCGGTGAACTTGCCTTTTCCAACTCCTCTATAGATACTTTATTCCAACTATTTCCTGTTTCAGATAAATGAACGTGGTAGTAAGTGCAAGCCAAGATCTCGATAACTAAGAGCTTTTGTTCATCTCCATTAGTTATTGAGAAATCATTGCAAAGCGCTACAGCGCTAACTTAACTGTTTATAATCAAATTAGAAGCTAATTGATTTTGTAGAATCATTTCTATAGTTAACAAATAATGACCATCAACTCTATAAATTTGTCGTTTTCTTTTTCACAAATCGCAAGGTTGTTATACAGCACACGTTTGCTTGCGTACAAAATACCCATACAGCATAACAGTTGCTGACGTTTCGGCAGCATCGTCGTCTTCAGTCTGGAAGGTGGAACTAGTTAGCCGAAACAACTCCCTTTAATCCGCAGAATAAGATTTTCTAAGGTTTTTTAATGGTTTATTCAAAAGCTAATCCCTGCTAACAATATTCATAAAAGCATCGTTACCAATCTTTTTTACGGTGAATCAGTTCGAAATCAATTATTCCTGGAGTGGAAAAGATCCCAATTGTGCCCTGCAATACACATGGGATCGCTCCTCGTGCCAAGGGCTCACCAAGCCCTCCATTCACTCCGGAGTCGCAAATTGGTACCAAACTTGTCTGGGAGGATCGCATCACTGGCTCGATAAGGTCCAACGATGCTTATGAAGTCGAATTATGAAGCATCGCTCAAGGAATGATCAACTTCGAGAGTTCTACCCTTTTTGTTTTATGCAACGTGCGAGCACATCGGTACAATAAAAGGTCGAAAGTGATGTTAAAAACAAACTGTAATTATTACGGTGATCAGTATCTTAAACTGATGATCCACAGTCGATGTTATTAAGAACGAACAAAAACTTCTATCTGTTAAAAAAAAAACCTGCTTAATATCCGTTTCTGGATCTCGAAACAAGCGCGGATCATAACGAGTTCGAGCACTTCGGGTATTTGAAATCGAACGTGCTAAAGTTAAACACAACGACCACTGAGGCGTCATCTAAATACGTTCGTGATGAATACTCCTGAAAAGTCGAACGATGCCAAGCAAATACTGGAAGATCAGAGAAGACCTAATAATGGAATCTTCCTGACCAACATTAACAGCGGAGCCAATGGGTAGAAGAAACTGCATCTCTTATTCTTTTTCCAGCCTAATGAGAAACTATTTGAGATGTCATCTAGTGGACAAACCCAACACAGTATTGAATGGTTTAGCGCGAGGCACAGAAAACGTATCTATAAATACTCCAAGGATAAAATTCCAAGATTTTGGCTCACCTTGAACATAAATTGTTCTCAAGAAAAGTCAGCAAGGTTTGTCCACTTCATATGCAATAAACGATAAGATCAAATCTCGTATTAGTTTTTATTAACGTACAAGAATGAAGTCTGCAACGGAAACATAAAGGCACAGGTCACGACTAAACAATGTGAGACGGATCAACGTATTCAACAAAACAAGCTTTAAAAAGAAGAAAGACCACTAATAAAAATTGAAAGTGAAACTAAAGACCCGTCAACGGGTAATGATATCTTATTTGATACTTGAACGGCCCGTCCTCACTGGTTGTGCAGGCCCCAGCATAATCACCATTTTCGGAGATTTGCTGGTTAAGCCATTGTGGTTCACTGGAATCCCGAGGTCAGCCTGGCCAAAGTCTGCCCTAGGTTTTCACCACCATGGGCAGTTGCAGCCCTTGTGGATCCGAGGGAGACTTGCCACCATGCTACTTTAATACCAGGACGGTGGTGGATCCTGATGTTGGTTTGCTCTTAGTTAGGCTTCCTGATGGGAACGCCGGACTGCTTCTCAGCTTGGGAGACCTTGTCGGGGAAACCCAGGAACACCCTTCAGCTACAATGAGGTGGTAAGCCGTTGGGAGGATGATTTCTTCTAGAAATAGTTGAAATTAAGAAAAACGGACGAAAAAGAAGTTGATAAATTCGAGGCAATACGTTTAGTTAACTTCAACACGGTGTGGTAATAACACAAAACATTTTCGAAAGGAATTCAAAACAACTCGAACAATAGAGTGGAAGGTCGGATCAATAGGGTAGAACACGATTTCCGTGAAAACGAGAGCTTCTTGTTCAAGGATGATGCAGATGTGATAAGTTTCGAAATGTACCGATTCTATGCAACTCATACTACCTCGCAGTAAAGTCTTTACCCTCCAAGTAAGCTGGACAGGGTAATATGATGGTACGGATGTGCTTTGAAGTGGAAATTTTATGACCGTCCATGAAGAAGAAGTCGCGTCGCAGAGTATCATGTACGGTGAAGGCAAATAGTCACATTTTTCCACTACAAATCTATAATAACGAAATGGTACCCTCGTTCTGTAAAGCACCCACAGAAAGCACTGTCGATGTTAAGCTCGACCGATGATTCTCTGTCCGGTAAGTGCTAGCCGATGTAATTCTGACTTCTGGAAAATGGATTGTCTGGAAAAACCAGTTATTGCCACCGGACGATCACGAGTATCAACAACAACAACAACAGTCCTGCATACAATAACATCGCCGGGTAGGGTTATCTCATTCAAGCGGTGCTCCGCTGAAGAAGATCTGACTCGATACGACAGCGAAGACACCACATCGAAAAGAGGAACGAGTGCAGTCCAACGACTCGGATAATCGGATGTGAGGAAGACGAACGCTCCGAAATGTCAGCCGAATAAACCTCTTCATCAACCTTGTGTCCAGCTGATCATAGAAGTGAGGCACATCAATCATTCATACCAAGGCTGAAGAGAAGTTGATTCTTGAAATCCTCAATAATTACTTCACAAACCTAAAACTTCAATAAAACACTGCTGTACGATCCCAGAAAGACCAGGCTTTAAAAATATACGGAGCGACGCACCATGCTGAAGGAAACGCTTTGAAGGCTATCGTCGTAGGGCGCAAAACTGCATTGGGAGCGCACTATTTCCGCCGACTACTTTACTACATATTGAGTATAACAATGGTTACGTATCTACATGGCGCGTCTCCCACATCCCGCGGAAGTCCCAGCATAAAAAAGATAAGACTCTCGACGTTGAGTAATCCCTTCGGGATGCGCCATGCACTCGACCCATTAAGCATCGCTTGAAGGTGCCTGAATACATATCTGGCTCTTACAATGACTTGCAGTGGGCTGCCGATGTATCCACCCAGTGCTGCTATCCTCGCAGACAAGTCTGGTACCAATTTGCCGAGCCCAGAAGGATGGAAGGCTTGGTGAGACTGGGTCGTGGAGATCGATCCCATGTGTATTGCAGGGCGCCTACGACCACTGTACTGCGCGCGCGCTTCGGTAAAACATAAAACAATACAAAGAATCTCTAAGACAAAAAATACAAAGGCGAAAGCCACCGGTAGCAATATACATCTTCGGATGGCATATAGCTCTTACATTTAGGTACTGTAAATCTTCTACAGAAGACAGTTTCAACGAGCAAAACATACCATACCCGGGATCAAGGGTCCAATCAAAACGAATAGGCACGGGGACGCCGAGTATCCACATCGCTTGGTCCTCTCATAACTATCTTAGTATTTTCATTATCGGACCTGATGAAGGATACTATTTCCAAGCGAAACCCGTCTACATTACTCAGTGGTTCAATAGTACTGTAAAACAAACCTGTAATTGCATCTTCTTATCCTTAAGTAGTTGTTTGGCTAGCATAGTTTTCTATTCTCATGGTTTTTCCTCAATGTTTGCAGTTGATATGGCTGACTATTGCTTGTAATCATTGTACCAAGGGCGCGTGTGGTGCAGTGGTCGGAGGCGCACTGCGATACACAAATGGAATCGATCCTCGCGCCCATGGCTCACCAAGCCTTCCATCCCTCCGGAGTCGGCAAATTGATACAAGAGTTGTCTGGGAGGGTAGCAGCACTGGCCCGGTACATCGGTAGGCCACCGCGAGTCATTGTAAAGGCCAGACATGCATTCAATCACCTCCAAACGACGCTTAATGAAGTCGAATGCATGGCGCATCCCTAAAGGAATTATTGGAAGCCGAGAGCGTTATCCTTTATTTCAAGAATTTGGCACGAATTAATTGCAATGATTGGAAATGTTACCTGATGAAATTTCATACTATATCTAAAGGAATAACAACAAGCGCAGTGGTGAGATGTCCCTTCAACTACAGAAAAGGCTAGTGGCTCGATTCCGCGGCATCGTTAGAAAATTCCCTATTCCTCCAAATTCGGAAAATTGATGCATTATTGACTTTTACTTGGTAAACGTTTTTTCTTGAGAGTTACATGGGACACATAACCTCAAATGTTTATCAAAACTTATGATTTTGATAAGCCGGGTATGGTTCAGTGAGGAAAAGTGTGTTGTGGTGTACTCGGTCGTTGGCTCGATTTCATGAAACGGTTTAGCCATCACCACCCAGACTTCTATGTAATGATGAAAGCACACACCTAGATATCGAAAGGCTCCAGCAAGTCTGTCCGCTTGAAGACGATTCCATGCATTCAATCACCTCCAACGATACTTGCTGTAGTCGAATGCGTGGCGCAACCCTCAAGGATTGATGAACGCTGAGAGCTCTACCTTTTTATCTTTTATATTTTACATAATCATTTATTTCACATTTATTTTACGCTAATATTTATTCGCATTTTACATATTTTTCATTATTTGACTTCTTTATTTTGCATCACTATTTCTGTCCCTCCTATCACACCATATAAAAGGATAATGGTCTCGGCGTTGATCAATTCCTGAAGGATGCGCCATGCATTCGACTTCATTAAGCATCGTTTGGAGGTCATTGAGTGCATATCTGACCTTTATAATCACTCGCGGTGGCCTACCGATGTATCGAGTGCCCGCCTCGGAGTGATGGAAGGCTTGGTGAGCCACGGGGCGGAGATCGATTCCACGTGTGTGTTGCATGGCGCCTCTGACCACTGCGCCACACGTGCCCTATCACACCGTATACCAAAAGTAATTGCCCACCACGCAAGTAGGATACGGTAATAGACAGAGTAGCTTATTCTAAAGAAGGATTATAGACGGTGTTATTTCTTTAAAAACAATTATAGAATAGTGTGGATAATCCTTGCAAAAATATGCGGGAGTAAGTGATTGGCAGCAGACTTCAATGGTTGTGTTTCATTGTTGCGACGAGAGCTGTTGTTCTCTGTATTGGACTTCGATATACAGCAGAAGATGTTCTATTTTCTGGCTGAATTAGTCAAATTGGAAGCATTTTCAAGTATTCTGCTCGAGTACTCGTTTTAAAAAAATCCGCCGTCGTAGAAGAGAAACGTGATCGGAATGTGGCAAGACTACGTCTGGTCGGTGACCGTTGGTCGGCCACCCATGATGCCTACCTGAAAGCGTCTTTGTGGTGGGTATAAATTTCGGAACTTCACTTAAGAAAAGTCTGATCAAGCAGAAAGACACTAAAATTGAAGTTTTTCTGTGTCTGTTCTAAATGTGCACCACAGCTCTCCGCTCCGTTCGTGAAAGTTTGGGAAGCCACTGTGACGTTGCACTGGAAAAACCTATTGAATAGTAAAAATCGGTTCCTATGCTGCTATATTTTTTACAAAATAATTTAAAAAGATGAGCTCGTAAAGATCGGAGAATGAATGGAAAAAATAATTCAAACTGCATTCCATTTTTCCTCTCTACCTTATTACCTTTTATCTTCTTAATCATTTTTAATGAGCGAATACGGCGCAGTAGTTATGAATGCTCTGCTGTTCACATTTTTGAAATTCGACGCAGTGCCTTGTATCTAAGCATTCTTCTCATCTCTACCGTAATGTTCACTCATCATTCGGAAATTCTCAAATGGCGCTTGTGGAGCAGTGTTCGGAGGTACCCTGCAACACAGACGTGGAATCGATCCTGGCGCCTATGGCCCAACAAGCCCTCCATCCTTCTGGGGTCGGCAAATTGGCACCAGACTCGCAAATAGCGAGGATAGCAGCACTGGCTCGATACACCGGTAGGCCACCGCAAGTTATTGTAAAGGCCAGATATGCATCCAATCACCTCCAAACGATGCTTAGTGAAGTCGAATGCATGGTGGATCTCTCAGGGATTGATCAGCGCGAAGAGTAATTTCTAAAGTTACTCGTTAATAAACAGCTATTTAAGTAATTCGTAAGTCTTTTGTGAATGTTTGAAGTAAGGAAGAGCCAGACATATTATTAATGTCTTATATTATTCGAAAACTACGATGTCGATGATAGCAAGTGGAAGTAGAAGGGTTGAAGGAGTGGGGTGAGTCCGTCTCATATCTATCTGCTCGCTCAGCTCAGTGATCTGCACTCATCGTCCTTCATCAGCTGTTTACTTAGGAGATTCTAACCCCTTCCAATTAGTAATGGCTCATATTTAATTTTTTACTAAGCAATAACCTGTTTGAATGTTTGCAATTCTACCTCACCCTTCATCTAGGCCATCAGTCTTATGAACAAAAAGGATCAGATTCAGTCGCTTCAAATATTACTCATTTATTGAACTTTGCGCATTTTGCGCTCTTGGGTTCAAACACACTTTATGAAATCTACATCTTTTTTCAGAGAATGCCTCGACCAGAGTTGGTCATCGTTTTCATCGTCATCATCTTTATGGAATTTCGTAGTTCATACGGAAACTCGTATCCAAAATCGAACAAACACTACAACTACACCGTTAACATTGAGGTTCCTGGCGAAGCACGATGCATTCAAACAACAAGGTGCGTTAATGCGACCGTTGGTTTTTCAATTGTTGCTTTTTTGTTTTGTTCTCAATCAGCAGAAAGATGCTGAAGCTGCTGCGTTGTATCGCTCCATATCACGATACCCTTAGCTGGTTGGATCGGCTGGTTCAATCCTCACCGAGTCTACTTTAAAAAACTGTTTCACAAACCTACACAGCACTCAAGCTGTCAGCAGAAAAGTTTCGTCAACCTATGAAAGAGAAGTGATTTGTTCATGAATGGAATGTCGGAAGTCACTGTAGAGCTCGATTTCAGTGAAGGTGGTGTAGAGCATTTGATGGCATCCATCAACATTGTAAAAGCTCTATAGTCATAAGATGATCACATGATATTTCTTGCTTTCACCCACTTGGTTGTAAAAAGTTACTTTTTATCGGAGACAAGAAACTCGCAGTGTGAAACTGAGTTGAACAAAACAAGAAATTCATGAGGGATACCGCATGATGATTGTATGGATTATGTTCACACAATGTTTACATTTATGTTCTGCTTACTACTAATGGCACTGATCGATAGGACTAGCTGAGAGACAGGCGAAACAAAGGGCCCACATGGTGTGATGGTGAACATGTTAGCCCCAGAAAGGACAATAGCGCGCTCGTTCCCCACCATAGACACCTGCGGTCTAGAGTTTTGCAAAAACATGAATATCTTAGCATCACAGAAGCTATATTTCGCAGCATAACTTGCCACTAAAAGAGTAGGCAATAAATAAAACGGTTAAGATTATGGTTATAACTAAAAGCCTCAGCTTAACTAGGTTCATTGCCGATGTGGGTTCTCCAGACCAATCCCGTTGACGGGGTGATTACTGATGGCAGAGATCGATAGAACTAGTTGAGAGACCATGCGAAACGAAGGACCCTCATGGTGTGATGGTGAACGCGTTAGCTCCGGTTAATAGCGCGTTCGTTCCCCACCGGAGACACCTGCTGTACGGACTTTTGCAAATATCTCAGCATCGTTGTGGCTATGTTCACACAGTTGAAAAGTCAAGTTTTTAGAGTGATGATGACAAATTTATCGATTTTCTATCTAAGTTTCCCCAAAACAACCTAAAAAACATTCCAATTTGGCGTAGGACCACATTCTTAGGAAGCGAAAGCAAGATTTGTTTTATGTTTGACATATAATGTGAATGATGATGTCGTCAAAATTGTACTTTGAAATACTTATGCACTCTGATCGTTGAGAAGAAAAAAAAAGAATCAAAATAGGCAAATTGGACGAAAGGGGCGGATAGCACAGTGGTAGTGATAACTGTCATCACGAGTATGATGGTAATTCGACTCCGTTCCTGGCCAACCAAGCCCCTCATTCCTCCGGGGTTGGGGAGTTGGTATTGCACTTGTCTGGGGAAAAAACACTCTCCGCAATTCAGTTGGGAACGCTTCAGCCCGGCTAACTCAGGATTCCAGGGAGAATAGCTCAACCATCATTCTACGACATTCGAGATGAAATGAAATTCCCCAAGCAGCAACCGAACCCACACGTAAAAGGATGGAAAATTTTTGTGGAGAATGGATGAGAGGAAACAAATCGAATATGGGAAGTGCTGAGACCTGCACAATAGACGTGAAGACGAACCATGTAAAATAAAATTGAATAGGAATAATAGAAAAAAATTAGGCAAAAAGTAGCGAAAACAGCAGTGCAAAAAGTCGCGTTGTGGAAGCAGATTGACTGTACTCGATGGAGACGCCATCAACGCGAACCATCAATCGACGTTTCTACACAGATTAAGCACAGAATGAGCAGATTTTAGAAAAAAGAGGAACAAACGATTGTGAGAGTGCTAGAAATCTTCCGTTTAACGAGTGTAATGATATGAACCTTGGCTTCTGGAAATCACTATCTCGCTGCCTAATCCTCCAGTTAGGATGGTGCATTGAAAAAGAGGAAGAGATACGTAACATTTATGGCGAGTTGGGTATCATTAGCAAACAGTTGTCTATATGGATTTAGTTCAAAATCTTACTTGAAACTTGATACTTAAATGCTCTGTCCTACCTGGTTTTGCAGGTCCTTGCATAATCTCTATTTTTCGGAGATTTGCTGGTTAAGCCATTGTGGTTCCTTGGAATCCCGATGTCAGCCTGGCTAAAATCTGCTCCAGGTTTTCACCACCACAGACAGTCGCAGCCTTTTTGGGTCAGAAGCAGATTTGCACCATGCGACTTTGATACAAGTGATGGATCCTGGTATTGCTTCAAAATCACTCAACGTTAATCTGGTAATTTAGACCGATTTGATTATCGTACCGATTTCTCTTTTGTACTCTCTTGCAAGACGTAGCAAGAATTCGACATAATAATAATAATCAAACATAATATAATAATAATCAATAACAATAATAATATAATATAATATATAATCTAATAATAATATAATAATAATATAGCATATAATATAGTATATAATAATATAATATAATATAATATAATAATAACAGTATATAATATAATATAGTAATATAACAGCAATCAAATAATAATCAAATAATCAATCGGGAGCCGATTAAGTTCCTCCACAAACACAACGTTGCTGAGATATAACTACTATAATGCTGAGATATTTGCAAAATTCTGAACCGCAGGTGCCTATGGTGGGGAACGAACGCGCTATTGTCCTTTCCGGAGAGTAACGCGTTCACCACCACACCATGCGGGTCTTTCGTTTCGCCTGTCTCTCAGCTAGTTCTATCGCTCAGTGCCATCAGCATTCACCCGTCAACGGGATTGTAGACAGAAAATAAAAGGTAAAACATTGTGATTTTAACTACAGCCCCACCTTAACTGTGTCCAATGCCGATGTGCCGATGTGGGCTCCCCAGATCAATTCCGTTGGCAGGTGATTGCGATGGCACTGATCGATAGAACTAGCTGAGAGACAGGCGAAATGAAGGACGCACATGGTGTGGTGGTGAACGCGTTAGCCCCGGAAAGGGTAAAAGCGCGTTCGTTCCCCACTATAAACATCTGCAGTCCAGAGTTTTACAAATATCTCACCAACGTTGTGGTTGTATTTCGCTTGGTACCCTGCCGTGAAAATTGTAGTAGATATAGACACTTTAAGCTCTAAGAGTGTACTTCTCCACCCTACATCACCCCAATGCTCAATCTTGTTTTGCAGGTACACTCTATCATTCTGTACTCTTCGAACTTGTCAACACTAGTGTTTTACTGTCATAATATTAACGTTCAGTTTTCGATGGTGTAAAGAAGTGTTACAACGAAGAATTAGTGATCAAGGAAAGAAAATCGTTTTTTCTTCGGCTTTCAACATGACGTAAGACAAAAACTTAAGCCACAGAACGCAACCGATCCACTGATACGATATTGATCGTCTGTTATGCTTACTATACGATTGGCTCATTTATGTTTCGCCACCGATTTGCAACCCCTTGATCTCGAAGGAGATGGTTTCGAAGCAATGAGCTTCACATTTCCGTCAGATCTTGTGTGCATTTGTAATATTTGTCATATGAGAGAGCACTGTTATCGTCGCTGAGCCAACAAGCCAAGCGGAGGTCAATGGGGGGCCTTTAGAAGGGCCGAACACGTCCCATCATTCATACTTCTTCTGTGTAACCTATGTTTTATGTTGTTCTTCATATTCACTGAACGTCAAGGGTAAACGTAGTATCTGTAGTGCCACTTCCATGGAAAACCATCCGATTTGATTCGCTCACCTACACTACATAAGTTTTTCGAGGGCCGGATTTTCTTCTTATTCGCGAGAAATCCAATCCTTTCCCAGGGTTTTCTGATGTCGTCAGTCATCGTATATGCTTCGTTGCCATTCGTCGAAACGATGGCAGTTTTGGCAAAGGAAAATGAAGTTTTGCCAGAAATTTGCCGCCAATGCGATTGTCGTTCTTGTCCCAATAGAATGACTTCATCACCCACCGCAACATGGTACTAAACAGATTTGGCGAAATATAGTA